GTTGGTTGTTCAAAACATTACAAATTTCTTGACATATCCTATTCCACACTTTGATTCAAGTGGGTTATGAACTCCCACCTTCACCCCATACACAGATTGCAGAATCACATCAGTTACACATCCATTGATTTACATATTGCCATACTAGTGTCTGTTGTGCTCCACTGCCTTTCCCATCCTCCACCCTCCCCCCTCCCCACCTCTCCCCTCCCCTCCCCTCCTCTCTCTCTACCCCCTCCACTGTATAACCCTGAGGGTCTCCTTCCATTTCCATGCAATTTCCCTTCTCTCTCCCTTTCCCTCCCACCTCTCATCCATGTTAAATGTTAATCTTCTTCTCCTACTCTTCGTCCCTACTCTGATCTTAGTTACTCTCCTTATATCAAAGAAGACATTTGGCATTTGTTTTTTAGGGATTGGCTAGCTTCACTTAGCATAATCTGCTCTAATGCCATCCATTTCCCTGCAAATTCTATGATTTTGTCATTTTTTAATGCAGAGTAATACTCCATTGTGTATAAATGCCACATTTTTTTTATCCATTTGTCTATTGAAGGGCATCTAGGTTGGTTCCACAGTCTTGCTATTGTGAACTGTGCTGCTATGAACATCGATGTAGCAGTGTCCCTGTAGCATGCTCTTTTTAGGTCTTTAGGGAATAGACCAAGAAGGGGAATAGCTGGGTCAAATGGTGGCTCCATTCCCAGCTTTCCAAGAAATCTCCATACTGCTTTCCAAATTGGCTGCACCAATCTGCAGTCCCACCAGCAATGTACAAGTGTACCCTTTTCCCCACATCCTCGCCAGCACTTGTTGTTGTTTTACTTCATAATGGCTGCCAATCTTACTGGAGTGAGATGGTATCTTAGGGTGGTTTTGATTTGCATTTCTCTGACTGCTAGAGATGGTGAGCATTTTTTCATGTACTTGTTGATTGACTGTATGTCCTCCTCTGAGAAGTGTCTGTTCAGGTCCTTGGCCCATTTGTTGATTGGGTTGTTTGTTCTCTTATTGTCTAATTTTTGGAGTTCTTTGTATACTCTGGATATTAGGGCTCTATCTGAAGTGTGAGGAGTAAAGATTTGTTCCCAGGGTGTAGGCTCCCTATTTACCTCTCTTATTGTTTCTTTTGCTGAGAAAAAACTTTTTAGTTTGAGTAAGTCCCATTTATTGATTCTAGTTATTAACTTTTGTGCTATGGGTGTCCTATTGAGGAATTTGGAGCCCGACCCCACCGAATGTAGATCGTAGCCAACTTTTTCTTCTATCAGACGGCGTGTCTCTGATTTGATATCAAGCTCCTTGATCCATTTTGAATTCACTTTTGTGCATGGCGAGAGAAAGGGATTCAGTTTCATTTTGTTGCATATGGATTTCCAGTTTTCCCAGCACCATTTGTTGAAGATGCTATCCTTCCTCCATTGCATGCTTTTAGCCCCTTTATCAAATATAAGATAGTTGTAGTTTTGTGGATTGGTTTCTGTGTCCTCTATTCTGTACCATTGGTCCACCCGCCTGTTTTGGTACCAGTACCATGCTGTTTTTGTTACTATTGCTCTGTAGTATAGTTTGAAGTCTGGTATCGCTATACCGCCTGATTCACACTTCCTGCTTAGCATTGTTTTTGCTATTCTGGGTCTTTTATTTTTCCATATGAATTTCATGGTTGCTTTCTCTATTTCTACAAGAAATGCCGTTGGGAATTTGATTGGCATTGCATTAAACCTATAGAGAACTTTTGGTAATATCGCCATTTTGATGATGTTAGTTCTGCCTATCCATGAACAGGGTATATTTTTCCATCTTCTAAGATCTTCTATTTCTCTCTTTAGGGTTCTGTAGTTTTCATTGTATAAGTCTTTTACCTCTTTTGTTAGGTTGATTCCCAAGTATTTTATTTTTTTTGAAGATATTGTGAATGGAGTGGTTGTCCTCATTTCCATTTCAGAGGATTTGTCGCTGATATACAGGAATGCCTTTGATTTATGCGTGTTGATTTTATATCCTGCCACTTTGCTGAATTCATTTAAAAGAAGAACTTAAATTATCACTATTTGCAGATGATATGATTCTATACCTAGCAGACCCAAAAGGCTCTACAAAGAAACTATTAGAGCTAATAAATGAATCCCCCTGACCTTTCTATTATGTTAATTATTGTTTAACAGCTTCATTGAGTATAATTTAGTGTTATTAGGTATGTGAGTTTTAACATATTTATACCATTGTGCAGTCATTGCTATAATCCAGTTTAAGATACAAATTACTTTTACGATTTAAAAAATTGTAAAAGGGAACTATAGATAGGAGAGGGGACTTCATCCTCTGAGACTGGATGGGAACAGGCAAAATTGACAGGTTAAGGATGGTAATACTTAACCCATTTGCATAGTTTAATTTCATGATAATTACTGGAAAAGACAGAAAGATGAATGATTAATGAAAACCATAGTAAGGAATTGAGTTTAGTCATCCCTCAGGTATGTAGGCGATTGGTGCTAATTCCAAAGACTGCAGATATTCAAGTCCCTCATATAAAATAATATTTGCTTATGACCTAACCACATCCCCCCCTATATCTAGATTACCAATAACACCTAATACAGTGTAAATACTACGTAAATAGTAGTTATATTAATATCATTTAGGAATTAATGATAGGGAACAAAGTTTCTACTTTTCAGTACAGATGCAATTTTTCTTTTTCGCCAAAATGTTTTTATTTTCTTTTTGGTACTAGAATTGAGCCCAGGGATACTCTACCACTGAGCTACATTCCCAGCCCTCCAAAATGTTTTATCTGCAGCCCATTGTGGATCCACAGATGCAGAACCTGCAGATATGGAGTACCACTGTGGTCTGTTTGGGGGATAGTTTTTAATTATTTGTGAATATATTCTAGGATAACACCTGTAATTGTAGTTGTGGGGACGAGTAGACGATAGAGAGATACAGGTTATATAATTAGTATGAGCTTTCTTTTTCTATCTCCATAACCTTTTTTTCCTTAGTGTAATGACAGTAAGAAGTTTATTGGTGTAGAACTCTGAACTTTTGTTAGTTGGCAGCAACAGTACCTTTGCAGATTGTGTGTATTTGTGTAAAGGATATAGGTCAGCAATGTTTTTCTCTGTCTAGGACTCTTGAAGTACAGAAAAGACTAAATCATAGTGGAAAAGTTGGATAGATTTGTCTACATAATTTAGTATTTAGCAAATAAAGAAAAAGTTGAAGGGCTGGGGATATAGCTCAGTTGGCAGAGTGCTTGCCTAGCATGCACAAGGCCCTGGGTTCAATCCCCAGCACCACCAAAAAAAAAAAAAAAGAAAAAGTTGAAGACAAATTATAATCTGGAAAAACATTGGCAACAATGTAAGAAAAAGTTACTTTTCAATAGAAAATGAGCAAAAAACATGAACAGGTAGTCCATAAAAGAAGAAATAAGCCAGGTGCAGTAGTGTGTGCTTATAGTCCCAGCTACTTGGGGTGCAGAGGTATGAGGAATTACTTGAACCCAGGAATTCAGGGCCAGCCTAGGCAACACAGCAAAACCATGTTTAAAAAAAAAAAAAAAGAAAGGAAGATTAAGGAAAAAGCAACAAACATGTGAAAAAGAGATTTGGAATCAGTGGTAACCAAATAAAGCAAATCAAAACAGTGGTATGTAGAGGTGTTTAAAAGAAAAAAACTGCTAAAATTAAAAAGATTTTTCATAATATAGGTGGGGCAAATTGGCACCCATATTACAAGCAAAAATCGAAAAATGTGAATAACCTTTGACTTAATAGTTTTACTTCTAGGAAATATCCTGAGGGCATAATTGGATAGCAGTATAAGGATATACATTATTTTAACATTTTTCAAATTTCTAATAACCTATATTTTATCAATAATTTAGTATGTAAATGAATAATGGACTATTCAAATATTAATCATTAAAATATTAAATATTCAATATATGTACACATATAATTACATATATCTCATGTCATTATGTGGATTGATATCACAATATATTGTTAAATTGTGGTTACATGTATAACAGAATATGAACTGGTTATTTCTGAGATGAGATAAAGGGTGGTTTTGATTTTTAAAAATATGTCATTATATCCTGACATTATCTAAATTTTTAAGTAAATTTCCTGCTTCCTCTTCTATAATGAAAAAAGAATGAACTTATTTTAATTTTATGCAACCTATAGGACCCTATATCTTAATTTTAGTGGAATGTTGTTTTTAGTTGAATTTTTATAGAAGAAATTAAATTATTTTAATGTTAAGAACAAGATATACGGAATGTTAATAAATATGGTAAAGATGAACTTTAAACAAGTTTCTTAACAATTCCGAGCCAGAATTTCCTGTAAGGTGGGGTGCTAAAAATACTTATATATAGGATTGCTGAGAGAATTTGTATAAAAAGGACTTAATATTGTTCCTGGAAATGGTAGTTGCTCTGCTATAGTTTTTTTGCCAGTATCGGAATAGAGAGACGTTAGGGGACAAAACTAAAGAAAAATTTCTTTCAAATACTAACTGCCTCCAAATTCCAGATAAACCTTTTTCAGGCACTAATCAGATTCCTCTAACTAACCTTCCCTGTTTAGTTAATTAGCAAACCTTTCAAGTTCTGTTCTCTTCCCATTCTGTACAGTAAGTACTACACTAGGGGAAGGACTTTCTTGTGGTACCATGCAAGTTGAAGGACTAGAACTTTTTCTTAGAATAGAGTAATTTTTACATGGGTCACTGACCGATTCAACCTTGATACAGAGCTTACAAAAACCCTCTAAAGTGAAATGTTTGAGAACTGCTGTTTTGAGTATGAGAGATTCCTAAGTGTATGACAAACTCAGAGCCTCCAATTAAATTGTCCCATTAATGCTGTTTGTTCTATGGTTACTTATGATAGTCCCTGTCCTTTACACAGTTTTGCTATACCATTACATTTTTGAAAACAAATTATGTATTTTGTATTTATTTGTTTACATTTTCAGAATACATTAAGATGGCGGATCACTATGTACCAGTGCCTGGAGGACCAAACAACAACAACTATGCAAATGTGGAATTAATTCTTGATATTGCCAAAAGGATCCCAGTACAAGTAAGAGAGTCTTTTAAAAGCAAATTTCTTTTATAATAAAAAACTTTTTTAAGAACTTTTTTTTACATATATACCAGGGATTGAACCCAGGGGTACTTAAATCATTGAGCTACATCCCCAGCCCTTTTTATTTTTTGAGATGCGGTCTTGCTGAGTTGTGTAGGACCTCACTAAGTTACTGAGACTGGGCACAAACTTGCAATTCTCCTGCTTCAGCCTCCCAAGTCACTGGGGTTATAGGCATGTATTACCAATGTGTGGCACTTTTATAAGAAAAAAATTAAAAAAAAATTTTTAGGTGTAGATGGATACAATATCTTTTATTATTTTATTTATTTTTTACATGGTATTAAGGATCAAACCTAGTGCCTCAGCCATGCGAGGCAAGCTCTACACCACTGAGCTACCATCTCGGCTCATTAGAACTTTTAAAGAATTTTTTTATACAAAGAACTTTATTTATTTATTTATTTATTTATTTATTTGGTAGTTGTAGATGGACAGCATGCGTTGAGGAACTTTTATATAAAGCATCTTTTTTGAAAATTCTTATGTACTTTGATATGGAATAACTAAAACAGACAAGGAGAGATGGAAAGAAGGGAATGTTTAAAAATAAACATAATACAAATAGAAAGTTTGCAAGGGTCTTTCAGAGACTTTGTTATTCTATACATTTCACCTTCAAGTCATCCCAAGTAAGTACAAGTTAGCTAAGAATATCCTATGCATTATGCTCAGCTTAGATTATGATGGTGTTTTAGAAGAAGATTGTTTCTACCTTATCATGTTGTGTTAGGAAATTTAGGGTAAATACCTGAATGCCCATTGAGGAAAAAATTCTAGGCTTATATGGAACAAAGATGGAATTGGGGTGGCCAAAGTAATTGAATATTTGAAATTGGTCATTATTTCTAGAAAAGGTTCTATAGAGCCTAGCTGAAAGGCTATGAATTGAGTTTCCTAAAGACCAACAAGACTAATTGGATTGTAATATCAATTTCAACTTGTTTTTTACCTCTTCAGAGGTTTTGTTACAATGGACTGCTTATTGTTGTTGTGTAAAAAGTTTGCCAACAATCAAGCATAGAACCTGAATTAAGCATAAGTCTGCTATAAAGCTATTGTACTTTTTGCAGTAGAGCTAATCTTAATAGAGAATAATGTAGTTTGTGGTTTTTGTTGTTATTGTTCTTTGTTTGTTTGGTATGAATTTTAAGAATGAATCATGTTGTGTTTTCTTGTAGGCAGTATGGGCTGGCTGGGGTCATGCTTCTGAGAACCCCAAGCTCCCGGAGCTTCTCTTAAAAAATGGCATCGCCTTCATGGGTAACCCTTTGTGATGTACTATTGTTCCTGTTTCCTTTTATTAATTTTGTCCATATTTTACTCTTATTTTCTTCTGTTTGACATGTACTCAGCCCTTTTGTTTTTTATTCAATCAGTGATGCTCAGAATAACCCTTTTTATTTCTTTATTCCCCATTCTTCATTTTTTACACCCTGCTTAGCTCATTTCATCCCGTTTGTGTTTTCTGTCCCTGAGTTCTTTTCCTTGAGGTATGAAAAAGACTGTGCTTTCCAAAGCACATTTTTAAAACGTTCCCACTAACCTTAGAAAAACATGTGAAGGGAAGGACCCATTTTTGAATAGTGAAGAATGTGTGCCCTTAAATATGAATCAACAGCTTTGCATTTAAGAATATAGACTATATTCCTATGGATAAGAGGCATTTTCTTCCAGGAGAGGTTTTATGGCTCAAATAGTTTCTCTCTGTCTCAAGAGAATTTTCATAATACTTAATATGCTTTGTAAACATTATTGCAGATAGATCTCTACTTTGGGTTCACCTAAGACCAAAGATACTATAATGTATCAGATTTGAACCCCAAAACTTTACCATCTTTATTTTAGGATATAGGTTAATTTTTTTTCTTTTTTTTTTTTTTTGTTAATCAGTAAAGATGAATCATAAAAGATGATAAATTTGGTTTATTAGGAATTTAATCCAGCATGTATTTGTGTATATTGAGCTCTCACTGTGCGCAAAAAGCTTACTATATTAAATTCTCTAGAGGGTACAAACATGAGTCAAAAACATAGCAGTCCCCATAATCAAATTTATGATCTCCATGACATGTAATGGGGATAGGGATAAGACAAATACAAAATAATTAAAATACTGGGCAAAATACATGTGCTATAAAAATGAGTCAAAAATGTTACATTTTTTTGTTTTGTTTTTAGGTCCTCCAAGCCAGGCCATGTGGGCTTTGGGGGATAAGATTGCATCTTCCATAGTGGCTCAAACTGCAGGTATCCCAACTCTTCCCTGGAGTGGCAGTGGTAAGAAATTGTTTCTTGGTTGGATTTTTGAAGTGCAGAAAAGCTTAGTAGATTATTTGGGACAATAGCAGGGGGCTTAGTTTGTTTAAAGTGTATTGGGGTTCTTGATAAGAAATATCTTGATATCTCCTAGCTTAATTCATCTGTCATGTATTTTTTGTCATGTCTTAGAAATTTAAACTTAGACGAGGTGCACAGATGATAAATTGGTCTAGAATGATCTTGAGACTTAATTTGAAGAAACTCTGGGAAACACATGTTCTGGGGGTTCAAATCTATTCAGGGTAGGCTAGAATCTTCCTTAGAGGCTGGCTTCTTAAGTGTACTTATACTTTTGGACCATGTGGGCGGTGTCCTGGGTCCCCAGGAAAAACCTAAAGCCCTCTTACTCAAATGTTTACCTATCAGTGCTTTTCTGATGTCAGCCCATAATCTATGGGTGATTTGCTTTGCAAAATACCATTCAACCTCAGTTGCCCTTGATGCAGAAAATGAGGTTAATAGTCAACCTTTCTTTCACGCATGTAGAGAAAGAAATTTTTAAAAAAAATTATTCTTGACAAATCCCATAAACAGTGCCATGTAAATTATTATAGCTGATGACAAAATGAACTTCCCTTTTTTTAGTACTCACCCTCTTGGAGCAGACATACATTAAAACCTCTTTTAAATTGGAATGACCATTGTCTTGAGGCCAGGAGATTTGAACCCTTGTTATTCTGGCTCTCCAGGGGGATTGCCATATCCTCTCCAGACCTGCTAGGTCAAATAGTTTAAAATAAAAGCTTGAATTTGTTCTTGTTTGAATGGAGAGTCTATAGTGTTCCCCTTGTGGCTAAGTACAGGAACATTCAGGGAGCATGAAATCATGACTCTGCTGAGGCCAATAAAACTGCCATTTCCATTTCCAAGGGCTCATAAAGTTTGAATTATTTCTCAGACCTCTGGCCCTAGAGCAGGCCTGAACACACAGATTGAAGGTATTGCCGGGTTGCTGTGAAAAGTCTGTTATGCTTTTTTGTTGTTGTTGCATTTTTATAAGTTGGTCCCCTTTAGCTCTCCTGGTTTCTTCCAGCATAAGAATCCAAATTGCCACCTCATGCTGTGGATACATACTGTTACCTACATGGACTGATCACAGTGTTATGTCCTTTTTTTTTTTCTCACATCTGCTTTCAATTTAGGATAAATATCATAGCATTTAAAGAATATGTAGCAGAAAACTGACATGAATTCTTATAGTTACTCTCTCAAGTCACTTGTCTATTGCAGGTCTTCGTGTGGACTGGCAGGAAAATGATTTTTCAAAACGTATCTTAAATGTTCCACAGGAACTGTATGAAAAAGGTTATGTGAAGGATGTGGATGATGGGCTGAAGGTGAGTTCCTAACTCCAGGGATTGATGCCTTTCAACTGATTGATTATAGTCACAAATATGGTTCATGGTGTGTATCCTTGGTGGTATGAGGGTTGTAAGACCAGGCGTATAGTTTATAAAGTGTAGAGTGAGGAAATGACTTTAAACTTAAATTTAGATTAGTTTTAAGCATGCTATTCATTTGGACAGAACATTGCTTAGGCAATTAAATTGGTATTTTAAGGAAGTACTGTTTCTTCCTCATTCTACCACCTGTTAGATTGAGGGGAATCAGCAAGCCACACACTTCTTTTCTTCTTGAGTTCAGAACCAAGATAAAGTTTAGATGGCTAAGTCAGGTCAAAAGTTTCAACTGTGTTACAATACACTTGATAAAAATGACTTCAGTGTGTAACAGCAATGAGATTTACAAACTGAATGCCAAATTTAACCAGGTTTACTGCCTCACTGGTAACTTGCAGTGCTGAATAACCTCAGGCTTCCTTCTATAGAGATGCCATTTTTATCATTTAGATTATTATATGACTGAGAGCCGAACAAAAGCATATATTTGTGCAATGGACTTATCTCAAAAGGGAAGAGACTGAGCAGTGCATATTTAGTTCTCCTTCTAAATTGACCAGTCACATAATTTATGCTTTTTCCCTTGGGAAGGAGTGAGGGAGGGAGCCAAGAGAGGCTGTATTACTCTATTATCCTTTCACATAAGAAAGGTGAACCCAGGCAAAAGGAGAGAGATCCTTTCTCCAACCTTTTCTTTCCTTATAGTTCTCTCCAGTTTGTTCCTTATGAACTTTTTAGCTAAATGAAAGTATCAGTTATGCCTCTAGGTAGATGATGGAAGAGAGGCCATTTTAGAAAAGCACATTGCTTGAGTTTGACTTGTGGATTATAAATTCAAGAGGAATGCTAAATGTTCAATTAATTTTGCTCTGTTGTGTGCAGTTCAAGTTAAATATCCCATAATCTCCATAATAAGAAAAGTTACTATTTCTAATTCAATTACAAATGCTTTATTCTATTTGCTATAATTTGCAAAAGAATAGAAGTCCTTTTTTCTTTTTTTTCCCTGATTTTAAAATGTAAGCAGAATTTTCTTTTTTTTCTTCTTCTTCTTTTTTTTGGTGGTGGTACATGGACAGCATGCCTTTATTTTATTTGTTTATTTTTATGTGGTGCTAAGGATTGAACCCAGTACCTCCCACATGCTAGGCAAGTGCTCTGCCACTGAGCTATAGCCCCAGACCTATAAGCAGAAATTTCTGGTAGAAAATTTGGAAAGCCAGAGATGATAATAAAACTACCCATAAAGCTACCATCCAAAGATAATGCCTATTAACATAATCATGTAATATCCATGTATTTTCTTCCAGCTTTTTGGTTAATTCATATATTTATATAATCTTTTTTTTTTTTTTTAAGAGAGAGTGAGTGAGAGCACGCTCCAGAGAGAGAGAGAGAGAGAGAGAGAGAGAGAGAGAGAATTTTTCTTTTAATATTTATTTTTTAGTTTTCTGCGGACACAACATCTTTGTTTGTATGTGGTGCTGAGGATCGAACCCGGGCCGCACGCATGCCAGGCGAGCGAGCTACTGCTTGAGCCACATCCCCAGCCCCATTTATATAATCTTTATTAATAAATCCCAATAATTAAAAAATTAGGGTCTTACAATATATATTGTTTTGTAATTCTGGTATTTTTTTCTACTTAATTTTATATATAAACATTTCCCCCATAGCATTAAAATTCTAAAATTCTGTGTATGTACACACACACTGTGTATTAAATCAGGGGTATTTTACCACTGAGCATCATCCTCGGCACTTTTTATTTTGAGGCAGGGTTTCTTGCTAAGTTGTTTATGGTTTTGCTTAGTTGCTGAGGCTGACTTTGAATTTGCAAACCTTCTGCCTCAGGCACATGATATTATAGCATGTGCCACCATACCCAACAAAATTATTATTATTTTGATATCGGGGATTGAACCTAGGAATGCTTTACCCAGCTCTTTTTTTAATGTTTTATTTAGAGACAGGGTCTTGCTAAGTTGCTTATGGTCTCACTAAATTGCTGAGGCTGGCCTTGAACTTGTGATCCTCCTGTCTCAGCCTCCCAAGCCACTGTGATTAGGGGCATGCGCCACTGCGCCCAGCCTTGCCCAGCAAGATTCTAAAATATTTTTAATGGGTGAACTGTGGCTAGAACTTTCTTATATTTTTAACAGGTCTATCTTCTTATTGACTTCCTGTGGGATACCCTCTTCCCTTTCTAATGTCTTTTTAACATTTGTGCTATTTCGTTGATCACCTATCATTGAGTGATTTGAGTTAATCCCACTAATTCTCTTTATATCAGCATAGGAAAGAATAGAGCTAATTAAACTTTGGAAGAGATGGGTTTTTATCACTAATCTGACACAAAATTTAAAATGTTTTTTTTTCTGATGATACAGTTTAGAGATAAAATTTACATTATCTTCATAATGTAGCAAAACCTTAAAAGCCAAGAATAATTTTACAAAGGAATGACTTAGTTATATAAAGATTTTGGTTAACTTTCCCCCAATTTACTTTTTGCCTAAACAGTACAATTCAGTTATCTTCTATATCATTACATATAAAAGTAACCTCATTCCTTCTGATAATTACATAGTATTCTACATAGTGTATGATATATCTAGTTTTAACTATTTCCTTATTTGATGGATAGATAATTTACTTTTCAAAAAATTTTTGAACTGTCACCTGATCAGCCTACTATAAATGTGAAAAGCACATTTAGAGCATGTGTTGAAAAATTAGTTTTCTAATTTTATTATTTTGAGATCTTGTTATTTATATTTTATAAAAAGTTGTATGAGAAAAAGTTTTTGAATACTTGAGAGTTCTTAGTTTTTTTAAAATGTGTGGTTAGAAGCTATGCTGAGACATCAACTTATATTAAATACTTAAAAAAAAATTATGGGTAATGTGTAAATACCTGCATACTATAAGGAAGGTACTCCAACAATATATTTGATACAAATTCATTTCTACCCATCTTCCATTTATAGAATTCTGTGTATTCTAGAATTCATTTATTTGCATTTATATATATGGATATATTAATTTATATACAATCATACATAAATATATATTTCCATTTTGGTTTTGACTTCTATTATGGATTATCCTAGACTGAACCATATAAAATTGCCAATATTCCAGTATTAATCTACAAAAAGATTATTTCTTTTGGTTTAACCTAATACTACAAATATTATTCTGTTAGTTTTTCACCTTGGTATATCTTGAGGTTCTTTCTATTTTAGTACTTCTAGATCTACTAAATAACTGTATTATTAAAGGAGAAAATGCCAGTTTTCTTCTACTCTACTAAATACTACTCTTCCATTTTCCTCTTTCTTCTTAAAGGCAGCAGAGGAAGTTGGATATCCAGTAATGATCAAGGCCTCAGAAGGAGGAGGAGGAAAGGGAATCAGAAAAGTCAACAATGCAGATGACTTCCCTAACCTCTTCAGACAGGTAGAGTGCAAGTTCTTTTTGTTTATTTGAGCTGACATGTACATCAGAGATACACAATTAAACAATGCTGAAATTTGGATGTCCAAAAAATACTTAATTTTTATCTTTGCCTATATCTAATCTAGTCTTTCTCCCTAGCCTTCCACCTGCTTATTAACAGGGAAAATAAAGTTAGTGAAATGTCCAAATCAATTTAAGTTTTATTCATTTAGGTAATTCAAACAGTAGAGTTATTCTTTCTTATATAGGAAGGTAGTTCTTCCCTGCATGGCACATGTGACTCACAGTATCTCATAGTGACAAGGAAAAAAAATCAGTGTCTTTCTGTATTTTTTACCCCTGGTCTGCTGACATAAATCAGCGTTAGGTATGCTGATATGATATTTATCTAGTTGCTCCAACATTGGTCAGACCCAGACTTGCTCATTGGCTTTCCTTACTTCATTTCAAATTTTCTGCAGGCCCCTGTGTTTCTACCATGTGTCCCATGTATCCTGTTGGCCCAGCAGTCTGTGCCTTAGCCTGTGCTGTATGGCTGTCATATGCTCTGCACAGGATCCCTAAGACAGGCCAACATTATGTAGAACTGAGGGTGGCTCAGCAAAGCTCATCCTAGTGTCTCTCTGTCTTACCCTCTGCTTTGTAGTTAAGTTAGTGTGGCCATGGTTGTAGCAGCAACCAAAGGCATGGTATCTTTTTTGTTGGGGGTCGGATTTTGGGAACCAAGGATTGAACCCAGGGGCATTTAACCACTGAGCCACGTCCTCAGCTGCCCCCCTCCTTTTTTTTAATGTTTCATTTTGAGACAAGATAGTGCTAAGTTGCTTAGGGCCTCAGTAGGTTGCTGAGGCTGGCTTTGAACTTGTGATCCTCCTGCCTCAGCACCACCACACCTGGTGACATTGTTGTATCTTTTCAGAATCTTAAACCTTTGCTCTGCCCTCACAGTTAGCCTCATGTACTTAACTTACCTCTTTTTCTCCCACTAATACCCAGAAAAGATGTCAGAAAAAAGGAAAATGGGGTACAAGTTTGGCCTTATCACTCTCTTAGCTTTCCACTTTTTCTTAGTTTTCCTAGCATCTTCTATATTGTACCATCTTTTATTATGTCCTTAATAATGTTTTGTTTGGTTTTGGGGGGCACTCTACCAGCTCTTTTTATTTTTTATTTTGAGACGGTGTCTTGCTAAGTTGTCCAGACTGGTGTTGACTTTGTGATTCTCTTGCCTCACTCAGCCTCTCCAATAGCTGTGAATATAGGTATCTGCTACCATTCTCGACCCTAGCAACCATTTATTTGCTTTCACTCCTCCTTTTTCAAAATCTTTCATCAGCAATTTTTTTTGCTTCACTTTCAAGGGCTAAAGGGAGAAACTCTATGACCTGGGTCTTCCATGATTTGAACTAGATAAAGAAAATGGTAAAAATATTGTCTTACTGCATTATCTCATTTTGAGTGTAAGAAGTTGAATATTACCTCAGTTTTTTTTTCATTACATTCCTTCTATAAATTTTGATTTTAGAGATAGGTCACTGCTTCATGGAGTCTAGAGAGAAGGCCTTTGCTCTTAGAAACAAAACAGAAAACATGGTAATGGTAACTCCTATAAACACTTCAAAACTATTCATTATTGTGCAATTCAATGGTTGAAGAGTCTAGGACACTAAGGAGTGAGTCATTTTATGTGAAAATCCTTAAATTTCAATAATGGTTAGCTAAATAACTCAAACTAGTCCTCCCACTGAGAAGAAACTAAAAACCAAATGATTAAACAAACAAACTCTGTCTTAAGGCATTAAAGACCTTTCAAGACAGGGAAGAATTATGGGAGAAGAAGAAAAAGAGAGATGAACATGGAATTCAAGGCCACTCTTTCCATAAAGAAATATTCTAGAAGAAATAGCTGAAAAGCTAGAGTTTTCAACAGTCTTAAGAGACTAAAAGGCCAAAATATAGACTTCAGGGCTTGCTGAGAATGGGTGCCCAGGGAAAACTCCCACATTTTAGGTTGAGGTTCTGAAGGACTATACCGCAGGAGAAAGGATGAACTGGAAATAGACAAATCCTCTCTGGGACTAAATCTCAGATTCAAAGTACTCAACATTGATTCAAGCAATATGCTTTATGATTATTACTGCTCATAGCCACCACAGGAAGCAAATATGAATCTACTCCAGAGAAAGATAATACCCAGAATCTCAATTTTTTCTATTAATTTTTGTATGGTATATTAAGCCCCCAATTAAAAATAAGCAGTCATAAAATGCCATGATTGAAAATCAAGAAGAAAAGTCAATAGAAACAAAATCCACAGTGGATTTAAATATAAAATTAATCAGACAAGGGCTTTAAAGTAACTGTACTTAACATATCTGAGGAAATTAAAGATAAGATTGAGAATTTGGCAGAGAACTGAAAAACCATAAAGAAGAAACAAATTAAAATCCTAAAACTGAAAAGGCAATAACTAAAATTAAGAAGTCAGTATAGGAATTTAATAGCATATAGGTGCAGTTGAAAAGAGAATTAGTCACTGAAAAATAGATGAGAAGAAATCTTGGACTGAAGTATGAAGAGAGACAAAAGGATGAAAAATACAGAAAAGAGCAATGTGAGATAGTACTTTGCAAGGATGACTGTGATAACTCCTCCCCTCTCTGTATCCCCCTGTAAAATATGATATTGCTCTTTTCTACCCTGAGAATTTCAACTGACCTTGTGACTTGTTTTGACCAATAGAATGTGACAGAAATAGTGTACAAATTTTGAACCTAAACTTCAAGTGGTTTTATAGTTTTTGCCCTTTCCCTCTTGGAATGAGCCCTCAGATTGCCATGTAAAGAGCCAATTGTAGCCTACTAGAGAAAGGCCAAGTGAAGCAGAAGTAAATCATCCCATCTAAGGCCTCCTAGCCCTATAAACTCATAAGCAAGTAAAAGCATTGCTGTCCCAAATCATTAAATTTTTGAAGTTTGTTCAGTATCGATGGATAACTGACACAGTAATTAATATCTAAAGTTATAATACTATCACAGTGAAAAATAAGGCATTGTTTTTGAAATTGGCTCATAGGTAGAAGCTGGAAAAATGATGAGGAAGATATTAATGAAGTTGGGGGAATGATGAGCAAACTATTAGTGGAGGCTGAAGAAGTAGTGAAATACTTGTCATTGGAGTCTAGAAAAAAGATAACCGCATGTTTTATAATCGTGGAGCAATTGACAGAAAATGTTTTCTGAAGTAACTTGAAAGATTATGTGTTTAAAGAAGTCGAGAATCTGGTTAAGGAGATCTCTGGGGACCAAGTGTTAAAAGTAGAGTGTTTCTACTTGCTTATACTAAGGAGCTGTAGAAGAAAGATGGGTTAAAGATAATGTTTTGTTGCTAGCAGAATTTTGGGTGCTAACACCCAAAGGAAATCAGAAGAGCCTAGAACTTGTTGGGGTTGAAAATATAATTGTTTCTCATTCCCAGTCTCTTTAGCCTCTAAAAAATTTGTGAAGCCAAAAAAAAAAAAGTCTCAGTAAAGATCAAGTCAAGAATGTCTGGACTTTAAGAACTCAAAAATATTTACAGCAGTATCTGATAAATGACCTTCTTAGCTAGACAGACATGCTTCTAATAATATTAAGGGCATTGCCTCACCACAGTTTGATTTGCCCAAAGTATAGAAAAGTCTATGCAGAAATGATTTATGGTTGTGGCTTTTGAGATAAGCAGTGAATCCATTATGATCCATAGAAAACCCACAAAAGTATCAAGAGACTTGTATTGATGAATGCACCAAAGGAACTAAAATGGACAGAAACAGTTCATAATGAAAAGAGGCCTTTGGATCTTCACATTTTTATGGACAGGAAGCAGACTGAGAAAACTATTCAGCTGTAAATATTAGTTATTTCTTTTTTTTAATATCATTTTTATTGTTGTTTATTTTTTATGTGGTGATGGGGATTGAATTCAGGACCTCTGATAGCTCAGTGGTAAAGTGCTAGGCAGGCACTTTACCACTGAGCTATCTTCCCAGCCCAACATTAGTTATTTCTAATAAAAAGTTTTTTCAGTGGAGAGGGCAGAGGGATGCCATGGATTAGAGACACACTTTTAAGGAATAGAACCAGATCCCCCCGCCAAAAAAAAAAAAAAAAATCCATGCCCCTGGGTAGGAGATCCTGGCAACATGTACCTACCTGGATTTCGAAATTGCTACAAACCAGTGACCTCTATGTACTTCCCATCCTCTCCTCTTTGAATGGGAGTATTTTTTGAAGTTCTTTCTCCCAGTCTTTTAATTAGATGTTGGGTGTGTTGGGGCAGATAACTTGTCTTTTTAGTTCCCAGGTCTTTGCATCAAGAGAAACTGTACATGCGGAGCTGCACCCAAGGACATGAGTCATGAGAAAAGTGGACATCAAGCCTGATGCCATGATTGGATGAGACTTTGGGGGTCTTGGGAGGGGGTGAGTCTATTTTGCATGTGGGAGGTATGTGAATTATTGTGGCCATAGGGGGACTATAGTAGATTGTTTGCACAGATGGCCACAATAACTCCTCCCATTCCTGTATGTGCACCCTTTGCTGTTCTTCCCTTCAAGAGGTGGCATCTCTTTCCCCAGTCCTTGAATTGTAGCTGACCTTGTGACTTGCTTAGACCATTATTAAAAGGTGACCAAAGTGATATGTAAGTTCTAGAGCCTAGACCTCCAGAGGCCTTGCAACTTATACCCTCACTCTACAGGATCACTGCATTAAAGAAGCCTGGTTTAACCAACTGGAGGATGAAAGCTCCTTAGACCTACCAGCCAACAAGACATGTGAGTGAGTCCATTCAGCCCCACTCAAGCCACCAGATAATGATATGCACACAATTGCAAGACCAGAAGAATTATTCAGCATAACATCATGAGCAAATAAAGTATTGATGTTTTAAACAAGCAACTGAGTTTTGAAGTGACTTGTTATTTAGCAAAACAGAACAAAAAAGGTACAGAACATAAAAGACATGGGATATAATGAAATGATCTAACATCATGTACTTTTAAGTCTCAGAGAAGAGAATGGAACAGAAGTAACATTTAAAGAAGTAATGAAACAAACAGCCATATTTGAAAAGATAATGGCTAAGAATTTCCTTAAACTGGTAAAAGATACCAAGTACAGATTCCACCCCACCCCACCTCCAAAAAAAAAAAAAAGAAAAAAGAAAGGAAGGAAGAAGAAAGAAAAAAAGAAACATCTTAAAGCAACTGGAGAAAAAGGATTATTTTCAAAGGAGTAACAAAATTAACTTGAAATCTCAGTAGAGACGGTGGAAACCAGAACACTTTGGGATATCTCTTAAGTGCTGGAAAAAAGTTAATTACCATTGTAGGATTCTGTACCCACTGACAAAATTTTTTAAAACCGAAGATGGAAGTCTTTTATTTGCAAAAACACCATGTGTGATATAATGTGAACCAGGAATGAATGCATAGTCTTGAGCACGTCATATATTTGGCTGTATGGAGTAGATGGCAATATTTTGCCCTGTTGTGGGGTTTGTATGTGTGTGTTTTCAAATATTTTGCTGTTTACCTTTGTAACATACTGGATGTTTTATGTTTTCATTTTCATTAATATTGGTTATATGACTAAGAATGCAAAATGTTAAAGAGAGACAAGGCATGGACTCTATTTTATTCATTCTGTATGTCTATTGATTAACATAGTCCTACACTTCAAGGCTTCTGCTTGTTGAAATCAAAACAGTTTAGCAGAACAACAACAACAAAAATTTACCACTTAAGATTTTGTTTTCTTTCTTTTTCTAACATAGGTTCAAGCTGAAGTCCCTGGATCACCTATATTTGTGATGAGACTAGCCAAACAATCTCGTCATCTGGAGGTACAGATCTTAGCAGATCAATATGGCAATGCCATCTCTTTGTTTGGCCGTGACTGCTCTGTACAGCGCAGGCATCAGAAGATTATTGAAGAGGCACCTGCTGCTATTGCTACTCCAGCAGTATTTGAACATATGGAACAGGTGTGTCTGTTAAATATTCTCACACAGAACCACTTCTCCTTTAGTTCCTGTTCTGACTTGAAAATAGTGGAATTTCAAGCCATGATTCTGGATAATTGATAGTGTTTTGTCTTTCTTGTCCTTTTCCCATTAGGAAAATTGTCAAAGAACAATTTTATCTGCCCCAACACACCCAACATCTAATTAAGAGTAGTTAACACTTAAAAAAAAAATCACTGTGCTATTTTGAGGAGAGATTAAGAAAAGAAAGATTTGGATTTTTAACAAGTTCATGATAAGCAAGTAGTTCCATTTTTGGGATTGGAGATCATCACATCTTCAGATCCATTATCTTTAATTCAAATATCATTCGCATTCGAATATTCAGGGGCTGGAGCTGTAGCTCAGCAGTAGCGTGCTTGCCTGGCATGTGTGAGGCACTAGGTTCAATTCTCAGCATATCACATAAATAAATAAAAATAAAGGTATATCAACAACTAGAAACATATTTTTAAAAATTCAAATATTCATTATCTTTTATTTAAATATTTTTAAAGTTTACATACTCTGTATTTTTGTATAGAAAGAATTTCTGAGTCATGAAACATGTCTTGGAAGTGGATGTAGTTTAGAGGTCTTTAATGTAATCTTTTTGGAGTCATGACTCGGTCTCTAAGTTATTGAAAATTTGTTTTCCACTTTTTACTGAACTCCCAAATAGCTAAATAAGAATTTGCCTATGATGGAAGTTTAATTCCTATGGCATATGTGTGTATTAGGAAGTACTCTCAAACTGCTGTAATACAGTTACCTCCAAAATATAGGGGGTTTAAACAAGGTGTAGATTTCTATTTGTCTCTTCATCATAGTTCAGAGCTGAGCTGGTGCAAGATACCTAGGGTTATATAGCTCTGCCATTCCCTAGGACAGAGTTTAGCAAGCTACAGCTCATGGGCCAATCCAATGTGTTGCCAGTTTTTAAAAATGAAGTTTTACTGAAAACAACTATGTTCTTTTATTTATGTATTATTTATGTCTGCTTTATTGCTATAATGGCAGAGATAAGGAGTTGTGAGTATATGGCCCACAAAGTTGAAAAAATTACTATCTGGATCTTTACTGAAAATGCCCTTTGGTGGTATTATCACTCACACAATTAAGTGAACTCATTGAAGCTAATGGGATAGAAAGAGGGAAAACGTGGAGGGCAAGTGGATAAAAAGCACATATCACACCTCTCACATTCCAGTGGATAAAATTCAGTCATACCTAGCACAAGGGATATTGGGAATTTAGTCTTTAGCAGGGTAACCATGTGCTCAGCTAAAATTCAGGAAATTCTTTTCCTATGAATATGAAGAAAAGTTGCTGAAGGTCATTTAGTAACCTATGTGCCAGTCTGCTTTTCTGGCTGCCCATTGTCCTTTATCTTGGTTAAAGCAAAGAACATACTTAGCCTTTCCCCAAGGAAGACAGCCAGAGAAGTTCTTACTATGTATTACAGTTGCTACATCACCTAGAGATCCAAGATATATATGAGATCAGAACAGGCAGCTCGGTGGTAGAGGATTTGCCTAGCATGTACAAAGCCTTGGGTTTGATCCCCTATTTTGCAAGGGCTGGGGGCAGAAACTCTTATCATTGTATTGTGTGCACATTTGAAAATGTAATAATCCCACCATTATGTATAACTATAATGCACCCCAAAAAAAGGAGGGGGGAACAGGGGTTGGGGTTGTGGCTCACTGGTAGAGCACTTGCCTAGCATGCGTGAGGTGCTGGGTTCGATCCTCAGCACCACATGAAAAACTAAATAAACAAAATAAAGATACTGTGTCCATCTACAACTAAAAATATTATTTTAAAAAAGGGGTGGGGAACAAATCTGGATCATTCAAATTCTCTTGATGTATATTCTTCTCCATTAAGTGTGTATGTGGTTTTTCATAGGCCAGTGACCTAAAAGACCAGTTTTTATTCTTCCCCACTCTCCCACCCCAACCCAGTATATACCCATAATACAGTAGTGAAATATGAGTAGGATAACTCTTATTTGGGAAAATGAAAAATACACAACAATCATTGGTCCACAGCACTTAACAAATCTTTCTGAAATTATGTTGATTCCCTGCTATATAGTAGAGTATTAATTCACTTAATTAGACCCTGGTTCTGCTCCTTGGGAGTAAGTCCTTTGTCCATTGTCCTATAAGACGCCTAACTTTGTTCTCTGGGTAATTCTTTCTTATTGAGGTTTTTTTTTTTTTTTAAAGAGAGAGACAGAGAGAGAGAGAGAATTCCTTAATATTTATTCTTTAGTTTTTGGCGGACACAACATCTTTGTTTGTATGTGGTGCTGAGGATTGAACCCGGGCCGCACGCATGCCAGGCGAGCGTGCTACCGCTTGAGCCACATCCCCAGTCCCCTCTTATTGAATTTTCATTGTGAATTAGGTTTTGCAGATTGTGCCTGCTTTGGTGGAACTTTTGTAGCCCACTTCCTGCTGGTACAGTATTGGGGATGAATACTATTCTAGTTAACCATCATAGGCTATTGTAGGCCAGACCATGATTTGTTGAAGAAATACAGTTCTCTCAATAACTTCATAAGTTTGTAGGCTATTTGCTACTCAGTTTTAGGTTGGAGTAAACATACCCAGAGATTTCTTCTAGATACAGAAACTTTTCTTTTTTTTAATCTGCTGGCTTTTCAGCTTAGCCCATCTCTCTTTTCTCAGTTTAACATTGGCCACTTTGAGGCCTCTGAAATTAAAGCACTCCCTTAATCTGATCTTTGACACTGAGTTGCTTCAGGGTAAGAATCTAATCTTTTGTTGGGCTACAAAAACAAAACAAAACAATTTTCTTTCTTTTTTTTAAATTTTGGTACTGGGATTTGAACACAGGGGTGCTTAAGCACTGAGCCACATTCCCAGCCCTTTTTGTATTTTATTTAGAGACATGGTCTTGCTAAGTTGCTTAGGGCCTCGCTAAGTTGCTGAGGCTGGCTTTGAACTTGTGATCCTCCTGCCTCAGCCTCCCGTGCCACTAAGCATGTGTCACCTCACCCAGCTCTAATTAGTTTTTTTTAAGGCTCAGTTGATGTGTGGATAGTGTTCCAATATTATAGGAAATAGTTTACTAGATGTAGTGTCATGCTGTAACAAGGAGGCCACTGCCCAGCCTGCGGTGCCTGTTTCTTTTCTACCTACTACCTTCTTGTTAAGCCATATTTTAATTCTTTTAAATAACTGAATCCTACCTGCAATTAATAATATCTATACTGATTAGGATACAGATTAAATTATATAATAAAAACATCCAAATCACAGTGAACTAAATGAGATAGAATTTATTTTTCTTTCCCATTATAGGCTGAGGTGAGTTTTACTAATGGGACAGTTGTATTCTATGAGGCCATCTTGGGATTCAGGTTTTTTCTGTTTTGCTTTGCCACTTTTATTGTGTTCTCATTGGCATGGTTAAAACTGGCTTACACTGTCATGACCATGTTCCAGTGCATAAGACGTGGAAACCGGGAATAAAGGAGAAGCAATTTCTTTTCAAAATATGATTTTGATAAACAAAATAAGGAAAAATATGATTAGGTTTTTTTTGCATATCACTCACAAGGCTTGGTTGGACAAAAGTTAGTTACTAATTAGGGCTGGGGCTGTAGCTCAGTGGTAGAGTACTTGCCTTGCAGGTGTGAGGCCTGGGATTGATCCTCAGCACCACATAAAAATAAATAAAGAAAGATAGATATTGTTTCCTTCTGTAACTAAAAAAAAAAAAATTTTTAAGACAGGTTGGAAAGCTCCGTGGTTCAGGGGGCTGAGACAGGAGGATCACAAGTTCAAAGCCAGCGTCAGCAACAGGAGGCGCTAAGCAACTCAGTGAGACCCTGTCTCTAAATAAAATACAAAAAAAAAAAAAAGGGCTAGGGATATGGTGCAGTGGTTGTGTGCCCCTGAATTCAATCCTTGGTTACTGTCCACTCCCTCTCCCCCGCAAAAAAAAGAGGTTGGAAAATCAAGTGCTTATCTGAAATAGTCATGTTTCTAGGAAGGAAAGCATACTGGGAATACTCAAAATTAGGGAACAATGAAGAGTCTACTGCCATGGTTTTTTTTTTTTTTTTTTTTTTTTCCCCTCTTCATGCCCTTATGTCTGTTGGGATGAAATTGTTTGTAATCTGAAGTGAAAAAGTCTTTCTTCCTAGCTTTTCAATTGAGCTTGTCTTCCATGTTCAGGTATATTGTGTATAATCAGAAGGTGAAATTTGCTCTGATATGGCTAAGCACACTAGTGGCTCTTAAAAACACTGGATAATTGGGTCAGCAAAAAGCTGTAGGTAGTCATAGTGATTCAACCCCTGTACAAGATGACATACTTACATTTGCCTATCTTTCTTTGAGTGTGCGGTGAAACTTGCCAAAATGGTTGGTTATGTGAGTGCTGGGACTGTGGAATATCTGTACAGCCAGGATGGCAGCTTTTACTTTCTTGAACTGAACCCTCGGCTACAGGTGGAGCACCCTTGTACAGAGATGGTGGCTGATGTCAATCTCCCTGCTGCACAACTCCAGGTGAGTCACCCTTATCTGGTTCCAAGTTAGAGCCTAGAGAAGTTGGGAATGTCACAGATGCCTGAAAAACTGGTTTATCCTGTGTCTGATAAGAGAAAAGGACCTCCTATCCTAGTCTCACCTAATGTTCATTTCTCTTATGTTTTTTTGATGTATGGTTGGTTTCCCAGATGTGGTACAAACAGCAGTTTTACTGAATTTTCTAGCTAGATACATCTGATATAAACTGTTACATTTTAGAAATAAACTTTAAAGACAGTATGCTTTAAATATTTAATTATAGTAAACTTGACAACTTTGTAATTAGCCCTTCCTCCTTCCTCCTGTGTTCTTTATTGAAGTAACTCTATATCAGAGTGGTGTTTGACATTTTCCCTGGCAATGTGGTAGCATACATTTATTTTTATAATGTATAAAGTGATAGCCATCAATATTATTTTTTCTCAGCCCAAGAAACAAATACTATGGGAAGCAGTAATAGCTAATAAGGTTTGATATTATATTTTTTTAAATATTATTTTTTAGTTGTAGTTGGACACGATACCTTTATTTCACTTATTTATTTTTATGGGGTGCTGAGGATCGAACCCAGGGTCTCGCATTGCGAGACGAGCGCTCTACTGCTGAGCCACAACTCCAGCTCCTTAATATTATTTTTAATCTAAAGTATTCTTTGCCCATACAAGGAACACCTTGTAAGTTCCCATTAAAAACTAGAGATTGATTTACTTCTCCCAATGGTTTGTGGGATGGAAGAGATAATTATAATATTAAAACTTTGCAGCTGGAGCTGGGTTTGTGGCTCAGTGTAGAAAGCTTGCCTAGCATGAGTGAGGCACTGGGTTTGATCATCAGCACCACATGAAAGAAAAAAAATAGATAAAGTAAATAAAATAAAGGTATTGTGTCCATCTAAGACTAAAAAAATGAAAAATAAACTTTGTAGCTATTTGAATTTCATTTGTGGTTTCAGATACTGACTTTTCCATTGATATTTTTATTTTCATCCTTTCATGGAGAAATGACAACACAGAGAAACTCATGTCTGTTGCATTAGGAATTTAGGGACATTTTTAGGAGTGGGGAATATTCTAGCAACTTATCTGTAGTGATATATTCTATTTCAAGTAACTTATAATTTGTGATTGTAGAATAGACTATAAAAATGGCTCCTCAAATGAAAACTTTCTTAGGTAATCTGAGCCTCCACACTTGAAGGAAAGTAACTATGGAATATGAATGAAGTGTATTTTATTACCTTTCAGATTGCCATGGGGATCCCTCTGTTTAGAATCAAGGATATCCGTATGATGTATGGGGTATCTCCCTGGGGTGATGCTCCCATTGATTTCGAGAATTCTGCTCATGTTCCTTGCCCAAGGGGCCATGTTATTGCTGCTCGGATCACAAGTGAAAATCCAGATGAGGTAATCCATTACTTAAAAGGTTTAAGTTTCTTTTTCCCTTGTGAACTTTAATATTGAGATAGTATCTGAGGACATACTAATGAAATCTCTGGACTCCCTCTGGAGAGGGAAGTTTATAGAGGTTCCTCAGAGCAGATCACTCAGTGGGTATGTAGTGCTGGGTCTTGGCCTTTATGATTTTTGTGCATCATTTCTGCAACTGTGTGTGATTAACACAGAGCCTAAATATTGAGTATGTCAGTGTTTTCTTCTTTTGAAATATAATAAGATCTCTCATATTCTTCATTTTCTAACAGGGTTTTAAGCCCAGCTCAGGAACAGTTCAGGAACTAAATTTTCGCAGCAATAAGAATGTTTGGGGTTATTTCAGTGTCGCTGCTGCAGGGGGGCTTCATGAATTTGCTGATTCTCAGTTTGGTCACTGCTTTTCCTGGGGAGAAAACAGAGAAGAAGCGATTTCGTGAGTATAATAGCATTTGATTGCATATCACAAATAAATTTTTGTTAATTTTCAGTGAAGTATGAGCATGGGAATCATTTATATGCTATGAAAATATTTCTACAGATAGCCTTTTTTAAAAAATATATTTTTATTTGTATTTGTATTCAGTTGCATTAAGTTATGTAGTATTTGACAGATATTTTTCTCTTTGTTGTCTGAGCCTTTTCAAGTATTTTTGCTTTCAAAAAATTTTGATAAACTTATGAAGTCAGTTGCTTTAAAGTTATCATGCTTTTTCACAGAAATTGTATTGTTATTGGGGGAGGCAGATTCTTGACCAAGAGCTTAGTATCAAATAATCATAGATAAGATCTGTATTTTTCATTAAAATAAATGTATTGTTGCACTTGTTTGTTTTTGTAGTACTGGGATCCAAACCCAGGGCCTCAAGATATAGCTGTAAATCTGAGTCATTTAAAATTTTTATTTGACAAGTAAATGTCACACATATTTGTGTCATACCACATGAGCTTTTGCTATTTGTATACTTTGGGAAGTGACTAAATCAAGCAGTTTGTTTGCATTATCTTATATACTTATCATTTTTTTTAATGGCAAGAACACTTTAAATCACTGTCCTACCAATTTTCAAGCATACAATATATACTATTAACTGATACACTCTTCTAGTCTTTTTTGGGGAGGAGGCTCCTGGGGATTGAACTCAGGAACACTTGACCACTGAGCCACATCCCCAGCCCTTTTTTGTATTTTATTTAGAGATAGGGTCTCACTGAACTTGTGATCCTCCTGCCTCAGCCTCCTGAGCCACTGGGATTATAGGCGTGCGCCACTGTGCCTGGCTCTTCTAGTCATTTAAAATAATAAAATTATTCTTTTCATTTTAGAGAAGGGGCATAAAAGAATTCCTACCTTGCATGTATAAGAAACTTTAGTGTGCTATAAAGTATGCATAGGTTTATATAAATATAACTGGTATATCATAAATGTTAATATTTTATTAGTCAGAAGCATTAAATATCAAATTAACAGCAGTTTGTTTATCTTAAAAAGCAGGCCTTTAGGACACAATTTTGACAGCTTATATATTTTAAAATATCTGTCTAAAATTGAGCTAGTTTGTTCTCTTTTTTGGGGGCTGGTGATCAAACTTAGGACCTTGGACATGCTATTTTTTAATTGTTTATTGCTTTATATCAGATGTTTAATGCCATTTTTTTGATCTTTGAACTGTACACAGAGTAATAATCAAGTATTTATTAGTATTATTAGTTTTTAATAATGTTTCCAGAAGTATTCTTAGTTTTTAATAATGTTTCCAGAAGTCCTTTACAGTTCTTCTCCATTTATTCAACACTATAAATTGAAATTTTTCAAAATTACAGCCCTGCTATGAGAAACAAAAATATTGGTATAAAGTTGTTTTTTTTTTTTTTTTTTCCTGCTTTTTCTTTCATTGTCATATCCTATTCTGTCAAAGTGAAGAAGGTTCACCCTAGAGCTTGCCAATGGACAACTTTTTGGCCGGTGTTAGTTTTCAAATGTGTTTTGATTGGCTCATGGAGCTTTTATTTTTTTTTAACTTGTGAATATTTAAAAATTGGGGAGATTATAATAAAAATATGGATTTCTGTTTTCTCTTAAAAATGGGATGATGACAATGTTCGTTTTATATTCCTCTTGGTAAAAGTTAAGTCAAGTTTTTTTGTGGCTCTTCCTTTTAGATGATACTCGAAACACAATACCTCTTTTTCCCCATCCAATTCATCCAATTTGCCTCACTCATTTATATTCCCACACTGGCTTCTATTGGCATTTAGGTGTAGTCTTGATTAGGCTGACCTCTGTGTATTTCCTATTGGATATGTCCAGTGACCTAGTACAGAAGCCTTGATCCTTATTTCTGATCTCCTCTGTATATTTCGTTGTAGTATAAAGCTAACTTTATATGTCTTTTAGCATATTCAAACTGTTGTCTCTACAATAAGTTTGCTTTCTGATACTATGTCAAAAGTTCATTCTTTGACTTGGAGTTTTCTTTGTTTTTTCTTCATTACAATTAGACAGTTTGACATTTAGACTCTTGTTTTCCATAATAGTCCCAGTCCATATTTCCAATATTATTTCCCTTACATCATAATGTAGAAACCATGAGAACGGAACCACATCTATGTTGTTTCCTGCAGTATCCCCTGAATATAATAAGCATTCAGAAAATATTTGTGGAATGAATGGAATTGCCACTACGCCCTGTCCTCATACTCTCTACTTTAATCATAATATTCCCTGAACACTTCCCATATTTTCTTTTTCTTTTTTTCATTATTCCCTCTATTCATTTATTCATTGATCACACTCAACAGATATTTACTGAGTATATGTTATGTACTGGTTCTGGTAATATAGTCAAGAACAAATAGGGTTTCTGTCCTCATGGAAATTTAAAATCCAGAGGAAGAAAGACAAGCAATTAAAACATAATGTAGTAAGTATGATGGTAGTGGGATTATAGAAGGGCATTATAGGAGGATGTAGCTGAGTCAGCTCAACCTACAGAGTGTCAGTGAAGGCTTCACAGAAGGAAGTGATTTCGAGACCAATACTTGAAGAGTATATAGGACTAAGGTGAAGGAGGACACAGACAGGAGGATGGGGGAGGAAAACAAAATGAATGTCCTAGGCTGAGAGAATGCCACCTGAATACTGTTCCTCTCAACTGTTAGTTTTTCAAGCCCATATCAAATCCCACATTCTTCATGACACCGTAAGGTTTTCTCCCCTCTTAGAACCTCTCTTATACTTGGTTTTAGTCTTTCTACTGGTGTTTATGATAGTCTTCTATGTATTTTGAGCACAATTATCATATCTGTGTATTCTTCCTTAACAAGGCTGGTATATGTCTTGAGCATATGAATACATAGTAGTTGTTGAAGAAAGTTCTGTCCCTATGAAGAATAGACCCTGGGAATAAAAATCCCATAGTATTTGATACTCTGTTAAAATGTAATCATTTTATATGTAATTGTAAAGTTATTTAGTAGTGAGTAAGTCACTGCCCGGATATCCAAAATTCATTTTAAAAAACACTCTCATATGCAGTATCAGGTGGATATCTGACAGTACCAAGCCATTTGTCTGATTGTAGGGAAATCTTTAAAGTATTAACATTTGTCAAAATTCATTGAACTGTATACTTAAAATAAGTATATTTTCTTGCATGTTAATTATACATAAAATAAACAAGGTTTAAGAATAACATACTTATTAATAAATAAGATGTAAAGATGAGGAAAATTAATGTCCTAATTCTAGTCTAGTCAGTAGTAAATGAATGGGGTGATGGAAACCTAACAAATGAAAGCTGAGGGTGATTTGCATATAATTATTTCTGTACTATGTGTAATAAAATGTGTGTGGTTTGCTGATACTCATGATGGTAATATCAGTTAGAATCTATAAGCTTATTTCACCCAAATTCTCTTATCTGGAACATTCCTTACTGAGTGTACTTAACGTATACACTCATTAGAACTCTCTCCCTCTGCCCTTCCCTCCAGAACTCCAAAGGAATGAAACAGTTCTTTAAAATGATTGAAAAACACTACAACATATGTTGCTGAAACAGATTGTCTTCTGGTCTTCCCATAGAAATATGGTGGTGGCTTTGAAGGAGCTATCTATTCGGGGTGACTTTCGAACTACGGTTGAATACCTGATCAAACTGTTAGAGACTGAAAGCTTTCAGTTGAATAGAATTGACACTGGTTGGCTGGACAGACTGATAGCAGAAAAAGTACAGGTGTGTATTTCTCTTGCATAAGTAGCCTCTAGGATTGGATTTTAATGGGCTTGTAGTGTGATCAGTGCCTTTCATTTGATGACATTTATTTGATTCTAATGTAAATGGTTCTTGATCTACATGGGGAAATCTAGGAATCAGAGTAGTTTTAGCACTCTAAGCATTCTTGTGCTTGGTTTGGGATGTAGCTCAGTGGTAAAATGCTTGCCAGCATGTGCGAGGCCCTGGATTCAATCTCTATCACTACAAAAAAAAAAGTTTTTGGCCTGTGCTATGCAGTCATTTCATTTGTTCTAATATTACTCCCTGCGGTATATTTGAAGAGAGGCATGCAGAGTTTGAAATACTACTTTGCCTTTTTTCATTTGATGTTCAATCTGATTCAGAGGTACCACCTTTTATATCTTTAAGTGCTGATAAGAGAGTCTCATTTAAATCAACACTCAATTCTTGTTCTTGAGCTAACTTCTGGTCTATTCTAAATTACCCAAAATGTTGTATAAAATAATTAGATTCATCTAAATTGTCTAAAGGTCCACTTTTTGGCTGTATGCCATTTTCTTTGAGATTATCAATAGCCAAGTCTTTTTAAATTTATTTCTAACAAAAATCTATTTTTGAGCTTCTTTTTGATTGACTTAGTGGAAGTCTTATCGAGAGTGGGTGGAAGGTTGTTTTTCATCTCTATTCACATGATGCCTCTATTCAGATTCTAAAAGTAAATGTATTTTATTTTATCTCAAAAATCAGCCAGGCAATAAGAGTGGAGATTTTCATTGCTCACTGTGTCTTCACAACAAATTTGAGCCTCATTTCACTTGAGGGGCCATGGTGCCAAGGGACCATGCTTTTGATCTGCCCTCTTTTTCTTCCTTTCAGGCGGAGCGACCTGACATTATGTTGGGAGTTGTGTGTGGGGCTCTTCACGTGGCAGATGTGAGCCTTCGAAATAGCATCTCTAACTTCCTTCACTCCTTAGAAAGGTAGGCTTTGTTTTTTGTGACTGTGCAAGCTAACCAGTGGTCCTGGGTATAGGATTGCAACTGAAAGACCCATTCATTTTTTTTTGTCCCTTCCTGGCAGCTTGCAGGTGCTACTTGTTATTCACAGGCTGTGGTCGTAAAGGAGATTGGAGAAGGTAGCAATTTATGGCAAATCGTTTTAGGACTCTACTATGGATTGTAGAAATTAGTTTATACTGCAATTAGAACAGGTTCCTTTTTTAAAAATTGAAATCCAGCTGTAGTAAACATTTCATGCTGTGCAAGCATCAAATCTCCCCAAACCCTAGTGACAAAGATCTCACATTTTTTCCTAGCACTGAACCTTAAGTATTTCTTGTATTACCTGTACCACCTTTTAGGAATTAATAATTGAGGCTGATACTCAGGATGACCTCATAAGTCTTTCAAGTAAAGGGTCAGGCATGTGTGGGTCTGAACTAATTTCTAACACTGATTCTGGAGACTAAGCTCTGCCTTTGAGTCCCCCGAGGAATGGTCCAAAGGGTAATCATACTAAAGCACTTTTAATCACAGGTATTTTATTTCCTTCTTTGTTGTTAGATTTATATATCAGCTCTCTTTTGAAGTATCTGAAAGGAAGAAAAGAAGTAAAATTTTGAAAATTGAACTGAGATTTCAGTGATTCAGCTCTATGATAAATATCTTTCACAGTGTTACTCCATGCACTAAAACCTTGAGCAGCTTACATTTTCTTTCTGTATCAAACCTAAGTCCCTTAGTGTGACTGAATATATTGTCCCTTTTTGGCAAAAGTTCTTCAATATACAATCTCTACAAATAGTTTCCCCACTGGTGCATAAATGTTTCACAATCTCCTTTATGAGTGTTCCCGATTTAGTGTTCTTATTTTTCATTTTTTTAATATATTTTTTATAACTTTATTTTATTTATTTATTTTACGTGGTGCTGAGGATCAAACCCAGTGCCTTACACGTGCCAGGCAAGTGCTTCCACCACTGAGCTACAACCCTAGCCCCATCATTTATTTTTAAAACTTAAATTTTGAAATAATATCTGACGTTTTAAGATTTGCATGAAGAGAACAGATAACTTCCATATATTCTTCACTTAGATTTATCAGTTAATAACGACTTTCCATATTTGGTTTATTGCTCTCTATTTTTTAAAATTTGGTTTTATTTATTTTTAAGAATGAGTAATAAATTCACATGGTTTAAAATTTAAAAGGCACAAAAAGATACGTATTTAAAGTCTCCTTTTTACCTCTGTTCCTTGACCACCATGTTACTGGTTTCTTCCATAGTCCTCTAGAGATGTCTTGCACTAAAATAAGCATATACATGTAATATTTATTTTTTCTCTCTATTTTTTAAAGATACAAATGACAGTCTATTCTGAAACTATATTTGTATAATGGTATATTTGGAATATGTCAATTTTGTATATAAAAGATGTCCTTTATTTTTAATGGCTGTATAATATTTTGTTGTATGTATGAGAAGGTGCTTAACATTGCTAATCATCAGGAAGATGTAAATCAAGACAATTATGAGGGCTGGGGATATAGCTCAGTTGGTAGAGTGTATGCCTCACATGCACAGTCCTGAGTTCAATCCCCAGTACCACACACACCAAAAAAAGAAAAGAAAAGAAAAGAAAAAGACCACTATTAGAAATCATCTCATATCCATTAGGATGCCTATAGTCAAAACCAGAAAAATAGGTGTAGACAAGGATGTGGAGAAATCATGACCCTTGTGCATTTTATAAGTGGGAATGTAAAACAGTACAGCCACCATGGAATACAGATTTAAAATTCCATAGAAAATTAAAATGCAAATTACCACATGATCCAGCAATACCACATTTGAATATTCTGAAAGAATTAAAAGCAGAGTCTTAAAGAGAGATTTCCGTGTACATAGCAGGATTATTCATAGAGGCTAAAAGGCAGAAACAACCAAAATATCTATTGGTGAATGAATGAATAAACAAAATGTTATATAGACATAACAATGAAATATTATCTAGCCTTAAAAAGGAAGGACATTCAGCCATGCATAGTGGCTCATGCGTGTAATCCCAGCAACTGTGGAGGCTAAGACAAGAGGATCAAAAATTTAAGGCCAGCCTCAGCAACTTAGTGAGACCCTATTTTTAAAAAAGCGTGATAAAATGGGACAGGGCTAAGGATATGGCTCAGTAGTAAAATGTCTTTGGGTTCAATCCCCAGTTCTAAATTAAAAAAGGAAGAAAGGACATCTGACACATGCTAAATCATAGATGATTTGTGAAATAAGCCACTCACAAAAAAGACAAATACTATAAGATCTCACTTACATGAGGTATCAAGAGTAGTCAAACTCAGAAACAGAAAATGCCAGGGACTGGGGGAGGGATAAAAGGGGAGTTGTTTAATGACAATAGAATTTTGTTTTTGCCAGATGAGAAGGTTCTGGAAATTGATTGCACAATATTGTAAAAATAATTAACATTATAGGGTTATGCATTAAAAAATGGTTAAGATAGTAAATTCCATGTTATATGTATTTTATCACAATTAAAAATAGAAATTTTATTTTTAAAAATAATTTATGTGGGCTGGGGCTGGGCCTCAGTGGCAGAGCACTTGCATAGCATGTGTGAGGCACTGGGTTCAATCCTTAGCACCACATAAAAATAAACAAATAAAGGCATATTGTCCCTACAAAAAAATAAAAATAATAATAATAATTTATATGATCAGTCCCTTACAGATAGATGATCATTTGGGTTGTTTCTAATCTTATGCTATGTCAGAAAATGCCACAATTAATAATTTTAGAGATTTATTTTTTAAAGTATTTATTGTTTAGTTTTAGGTGGATACATATCTATTTTATTTTTATGTGGTGCTGAGAATCAAACCCAGTGCCTCAGGTGCACCAGGCAAGCACTTGACCACTGAGCCACAACCCCAGCCCGATTTCTTTATAAACTATTAAAACTTTCTGCCAGTAAATGTCTCTTCCATTGGTGTTCTTTCAGGGGTCAAGTCCTTCCTGCTCATACACTTCTGAACACAGTAGATGTTGAGCTTATCTATGAAGGAGTCAAATATGTACTTAAGGTATGTGAACCCCATTGAAGCCTGCACCTTATTTATTTATCTATTTTTTGGGTCTCTCTTTGTTAGCTAGTTCTCTTTAGGTCAAGAGATGGAAAAGTTTGATTTAGTGCAGGGATGGGGGATTAGTAAAATTAGTCATTTTTGTCAGCAGTATTTGATGATTCTATGGAAATTATTTTAGTTGTTATTTAACTTCACATTATAGCCAAGAGATGAAGGGGAGACAGGGAACAACCGAATAAAGAGGAATAACTAAAGTAGCTTTATTTTCTTGCAGCAGGACTGAGCCATTTTCATAAACATTGATGCAAACAGCACCAGTGACCCCAGTGACCAATGCCATTAATTTCCTTTTTCCTGACAGACTTTTTTTTTTTTTTTTTTAAACAGTATCTTTGAAACATTTAAATTTTGTCTGTGGCTCTCTCTGAAAGGTGCATACTAACTTGTCTTTTCTGGTTCTTTTTCACTGCAGGTAACTCGACAGTCTCCCAACTCCTATGTGGTGATCATGAATGGCTCATGTGTGGAAGTAGATGTGCATCGGTTGAGTGACGGAGGACTGCTTTTGTCCTATGATGGTAGTAGTTATACTACCTACATGAAGGAAGAAGTAGATAGGTGAGTGGCTGTTCAATATCCATTTGTTGGACCTTTTTCTTTTATTAGTCACTAGCTCTTGGGACGTTTCCAGGCCTTTTTTGGTATACTCATTTTTAGTTAAAAACAATGACCATACATGCACTAACAAAAATTTCAAGAAAGCAGAATTGTTTATAGTTAAAAGCATGTCTGGGGCTGGGGATGTGGCTCAAGCGGTAGCGCGCTCGCCTGGCATGTGTGCGGCCCGGGTTCGATCCTCAGCACCACATACAAAGATGTTGTGTCCGCCGATAACTAAAAAATAAATATTAAAAAAAAATTCTCTCTCCCTCTCTCTTTAAAAATTAAATAAATAAATAAATAAATGCATGTCTGAAGCCAGGTGCAGTGGCATGTGCATATAGCTCCAGTTTCTCAGGAGTCTGAAGCAGTGGGATTGCTTGAGCCCAGGAGTTCAAGGCCAGCCTGGGCAATACAGTGAGACCCTGTCTCTTAAGAATAGACTAAAGAGAAAAGAAAAAAGAAGACCTATCTCCCAACCACTCTGGTGTGGGTAGAGAATGAAAAGAAGTTCTTTTCTTTATAAAGAACTGTTAAAAGTTTCTTGTACATTTTTGTAGAACTTTTATAATGTATATACAAGTTACATATATGTGTATACTATATTTTTCCTTTAAAGATATTCACAAATAAAAATATCCTTTAAATACTATTAGTATCTTAGTTTTTTTCTTTTAACATATATTGTAGACTGTACAATACCATTCATAGTGTTGTGAGAATTTAATGAATTAACACACTTAAAGTGCTTAAAATTTTGCCTGTGGCATAGTTAGGGTTTAGGCCATTATCATTATTATTAGATCATCATTATTTTTGTATGTTTGTGTTTTATAGAGGTGCCCCTTCTTTTTAATGGTCTTGCACTATTCCATTATGTGAGTGTACCATAGTTTATTTAATCTGACCCTTATTGAAGGAAATTGTTATTTAGAATTATAAACAAAGATGCAGGGCTGGGGATGTGGCTCAAGCGGTAGCGCGCTTGCCTGGCATGCGTGTGGCCCGGGTTCAATCCTCAGCACCACATACAAACAAAGATGTTGTGTCCGCCGATAACTAAAAAATAAATATTAAAAAATTCTCTCTCTCTCTCTCTCTCTCCCCCCCCCACCTCCTTCTCTCTTAAAAAAAAAATGCAATGAATGTTCTCTATGTGTTTGTGTTTGTTTATAGAATAAAATTTCTGAGTTTTTACATTGATACCTTCTGCCATTTCCCTTTATTTCTGAAGTGCTTTTTTGGCTTACATACTTCAACTTACCTCCTAGATATCGAATCACGATTGGCAATAAAACCTGTGTGTTTGAGAAGGAAAATGACCCATCTGTGATGCGCTCACCATCTGCTGGGAAGTTAATCCAGTACATTGTGGAGGATGGAGGCCATGTGTTTGCTGGCCAGTGCTATGCTGAGATTGAGGTCAGGGTAATGAATAGGCTGTTGGGTCATGGGAGGGAAGTTAAGAAAAGAGTTAGCTGGAATGGACTAGAGCTGAAAAATAACAGAAAGGAAATAAAAAAGAAAGACATTAGTCGGTTTAATTGGGATTGTGAACCTTAAGATTTTAAAAGCAAAATGCTTGCTGTTTTTCAGGTAAAGGAACTCTGGCTTTAAAAACAGATGGTAGGCAGTAGCACCTACTGTTAGGTGTTGTGTTAACCACTGGCTGTACAGAGAAAATATGATAGAAGTTGGGACACAAAATAGACAAGTAATGAAATATGATGAATTCTGAGAGAGATCTAAGTACAGAGTGCAGAGGACCACATAACCCAAATCATAGTAAGGGTGCATAGTAAGGGAAGACAGTCTAAAAGAGGGGACATTTATATTAGTTTTTAAAGGTAGCACTAAATTAGGTGAAGAAGGGTAAGGAAGAATGTGTAAAGTTGAGGGAATACCATGAAGGCCCAGAAGCAAGATAGTATGATAGTGTTTAGGGACCATCAGTATATATTAGTATTGCTTGAGAATAGGCTAAGGTCAAATGGAATGTGGTAAGCAAACATGCTAAAGAACTACTGTAGTGTGAGATCTTAAATGTAAGGTCATAAAAGACTTTATTCACCATGCTAGGAAGTTTCCACTTACTGAAGGCAGTGAGGAATCATTGAAGGATTTTAAGTGGAAAAGAAATATGAGATTTGGGCTCCAGAATTACTGTTTTTGGGGGGAACCTTGTTGAAGGTATATGGCTGATAGGAAAATCTTTTAGAGGTTTTTGAAGTACTCTAGGCTAGAAATGAGAAGGGCCTACACCAAAGACATGGCAAGAGAAGGAACATTTTTGAGAGAAGATGTACTTGATTTGGGTTGGTAATTGGTAGATAGAGGAGGAAAAGGAGTGAAAAATAACCCCTAGTTTTTGGCCTCCTGAATATCTTCAGTAGGCAAACTGAGAGTGAACACCCAAATTTACTGGTATAAAGAGACCAAATTGTTCATCACTTCTAAATACAAAACAAATATTATCACAAACTGTAGCAAAATGGATAGAAACAGAGGAAATATCAGTAATTATTATAAATCCTTAAAGCTAGGTCCTGAAACATTTTCTGCTTGCTTGCTTCATCAATTCACAGGAGATTTTGGTAGACACCCATTTTTCTGGGTTGAAATAAATGTAGTTCAACTTAGATGCTAAGGAAAAACTGACGTCCCTGAAACATTCATCTGTATGAAAAGAAATCAGACTACAAGTTATTTATTTTTTACTATAGGTGATGAAGATGGTGATGACCTTAACAGCTGCAGAATCTGGCTGTATTCATTATGTCAAGCGACCTGGAGCAGCTCTTGATCCTGGCTGTGTAATAGCCAAAATGCAGTTGGACAACCCCAGCAAGGTTCAGCAGGTATGGAGGAATGTACTCTTAATTGCTTGGTTTGCCAATGTTACCTTAAGCTGTTTTTCCCCTTGATGTGATATGCCTTGTATCTGTGCCTGTGATATTGTGGAACTAGAGTTTGCAAGAGTCAGTATAATACTAAGATTCTGTAATTTTATCATGATGTTTCCTCCACTGACTTCTCTCCTGGTAACTGGATTCAGGGAAGAGATGTCTGGATTTTGAATGATGATACTGAATTGCAGTTGTGTTTGTGCCCTGAATAGAAATTAATGAATGACAGTCTCTCATTGGGGTTGACAGGCTGAACTTCACACGGGTAGTCTGCCACAGATCCAGAGCACAGCACTCAGAGGCGAGAAGCTCCATCGAGTGTTCCACTATGTCCTGGATAATCTGGTCAATGTAATGAATGGATACTGCCTTCCAGATCCTTTCTTTAGCAGCAGGGTATGAATCACCTATCTTGGGGAAAAGAATGTACAAATGGGGAACAATATCAAAATAATTTAAAGTCTCATGAGATTTTCTAGAGGGAGAGAAAGAAAGCCAGTTGGCCTGGAATGCTCTCTCCTTTGGTTGTTAGATTTGAAGTCTTTAAATCCTTGCTTTTTAGCTTTGTCATGTACTTCACCTTTAGTCGAGATTATTCCTTTTTAAACCAGAGAATAGGGGCAATAATTGATGCTTACACTGAAATTTAGAAATAAATACTATATGACAGTGAATTCAGATCTCTCATTTTATTTTATGGTGTTTTTTTTGTTGTTGTTCTTGTTGTTGTTTGTTTGTTTGTTTGTTTTTTTAGGCCCTGAAAAATTTTCTATTTGCTTGCCTCATCGGTCCACAGGAGATTTTGATAGACACCCATTTTTCTGGGTTGAAATAAATATAGCCCAATTTAGATGCTAAGGAAGGCTGTGGTGATGGATCTGCTCCGGCAGTATCTGCGAGTAGAGACACAATTCCAGGAAGTGGGAGTACTGGAGATTGAATCTAGGGGTGTTTTACCATTGAGCTTTATCCATAGTCATTTTTATTTTTATTTGGGGATAGGGTCTTCCTAAGTTGGTAAGGCTGGCCTGTAAGTTGCAATCCATCTACCTCACCCTCCCAAGTTGTTGGGATTTCAGGTGTGTACCACTGCACCTGATTAAATATCTCATTTTATTTTGGGGATTGTGTTAACTTTGGATCCTGTTTTATTATTTCTTCCTCTCAGGTGAAAGACTGGGTAGAGCGGTTGATGAAGACCCTCAGAGATCCCTCTCTGCCTCTTCTAGAATTGCAGGATATCATGACCAGTGTCTCTGGTCGTATTCCCCTCAATGTGGAGAAGTCTATCAAGAAGGAAATGGCTCAGTATGCTAGCAACATCACATCAGTCCTCTGTCAGTTTCCCAGCCAGCAGGTATTTATAGGGTAATATTATCATTATTTTCCACTGGCTACCACTGGAGTTCAGGCTGCAGCTTTCTGTTTGGATCTTCCCTATTGTCTCGATGGTGTGCTTTTACAGTTTTAAGCACTGTACTTTCCACAAAACTGCCTCAGAATATAAGTCCAGTAATGAAAATACTGCATGTGAAATGTAAAAGGTCCTTGGTTATGAGAAAAACGTGCTTTGGCCATGTACTCCACATAGCTTTGTTCTTGAGGGCTAGTCCCTATTTGGAGGTATTTTCATAAATTTAAAGTGAAGGATATTGGTAGTTTTATTATCAAATACTTCCTTACTACCTCAGCAGCATCCTTGCCCTTCATCTATAAAGTAGCTTTATGCAGGGAGTAAAGCTGAGCAAGAAAGGAGTACATTTACATCTTGACTTTAAAACAGATCGTTCATGTGAGACCTTCTGAGTAGATGGTAATTTTTAATGTCATCATTATTACATCTGTAAAAGGGCAAAAAGAGACAAAAGTTGCTTGCTCATTTAGTGTAGGCCCTACATTATGTCCAGTAACTTCCAGCTGTGGCTGATAAGTCATGTAGGAATTGTGTTATAACTAAGAAGATTTCCTAGTGTGGTGCTCTGGAGGTTAATGCTTTGGGTCCCTTTGTTAGATTCCTTTCCCCCCTTTTTTATGTCTTAGATTGCCAACATCCTAGATAGTCATGCAGCTACATTGAATCGGAAATCTGAACGAGAAGTCTTCTTTATGAACACTCAGAGCATTGTCCAACTGGTACAAAGGTAATTACATATAATTCCAGATTTTCAACACCAGTACACTCCCATGCTTTCTTTTAAATGGTCTTAAAGAGATTTACCTCAGGCCTGACTTTGAGTAAAAATAGCTAGCAATTTATATCTCACAGAGTTCCTTATGTCTTCTAACTGTCTTAGAATTGTGACCTAACTCTCATTCTCAATATTTCTGGTAACTTCTTAATATTCTTTTTTTTTTTAGAGAGAATTTTTTAATATTTATTTTTAGTTTTCGGCGGACACAGCATCTTTGTTTGTATGTGGTGCTGAGGATCGAACCCGGGCCGCACGCATGCCAGGCAAGCGCGCTACCGCTTGAGCCACATCACCAGCCCATCTTAATATTCTTTGTCAATTATTGAGAAACAGAAATTGTGTTTTTCGTTTTCCTTGCCATTTTGAAGACCCTAATTTTTCTTCTGGCATGGAACCCAGTATGACATTTATTTTCAACTCTAAAATACTTACAGATTTTTCAGAAATCCCCTTATAATCTCAAATACATGGTAACAATTTTTGCTCAGCAATAGGAACTGAGTCACAATGTCATTGGATAAAGGCTATGAAGATTTTTTAGTTTTGTTTTTATTTTTCTTTATAAAAGATCATGTCTCTATATAGTGAGATGATTTTTTAGGCTTGGAATTTAAATTAATCTGGTTGGTTAATTGTAGGCTGACCCCTGTCCTGCCCTATATTTAAAGGGATTTTCAGTGGAAAATTTAGAAAGTAAATTTGGCTTCTAGGTTTTTCATTCCATAGTGTTGGCCTGTCAGGTTTTTCAGTGGAGATTTTTTTCTATCTGCTCAGGTACCGAAGTGGCATCCGAGGCCACATGAAGGCTGTGGTGATGGATCTGCTCCGGCAGTATCTTCGAGTAGAGACACAATTCCAGAATGGTAAGCTTTCTCCTGAGGACTCTCTTTCTAACAATGTTCCTAATTCTGATGTCTAGACCAAACTATCCCTATAGGACTGTAAGAGCTAAGCCAGTTCATCTTGTCACCAACACTTCCCATTAACAAACTTATTCCTTTTCCCTTAAAAATGGAAATCTCATATCCCACTAACACCAAAGAAAGAACAACAACACAACACAGCTTGATGAAATTGTGAATCTAGTGTGCTTCCGAGAAAGGACTGAGATTAGTTTTCTAGTAGAGATTAGCATTCCCTGTTGACATCTTCTTGACCTTGTATAGTGAGAGTTGGTTGAGTCATGACCAGGCTGAAATTGAAATTCCCCATCTGAAGAGCTTGCCTCTCAGCAGCTCATCTATGGATTGAACTACAGGCATATAGGAAAGGGTCAGATTTTCCACTACTTTTTCATGTGCCATTTAGGTGGAATTTATCCTTGGCTTTCTCTGAAGAGCTTCACTAAATGAAGTAGTTTTTAAGCATAAAATACTTTGGTTAAGACTTTAAAGCTATGTACTGCTGATATTGCTTTCTACCACAAGATGGCAGTGAAACCACACAGAATTTAAAATGTTACCTAAAATTTTCTTTTATCTGTTCTGCTCTCATTTGCATTCTTTAAAAAGATGGTCATGTGCCACTCATGACCAGCAAAATTCTCCAAGTAGACTTAGCACACTTAACCCAGCGATGTATGAAATAATATATCACAACCAAGTTGGCTATATCCCACTAATTCAAAATTGATTAATTTGGTGGATAATTAATGTAATTTTCATGTGTTAATAGATTAAAAGAGGAGGAAACATGGTCATCATCTCAGGATATGGGGAGAAAAGCATTTAACAAGGTTTAACATTTATTCATGATAACTCTGAGAAACTAGGAATGAAATTAGACATTTTAATTTTTTGTGAGGACCTACAGTTGGGCATGGTGGCATATGCCTGAAATCTCAGCTCTTCAGGAGACTAAGGCAGGAGGATCGCAAGTTCTAGGTCAGCCTCAGCAACTTAGTGAGGCCCTGTCTCCAAAAAAATAAAAGGGTGGGGCAGGGGAAGACTGGAGATGTAGCTCAGTGGTAGAACATCACAGGATTCAGTTCCCAGTACCACAAGAAAGTGAGGGTGACACCACAAAAAATTTACAGGATATCCCGGGCATAGTAACACATGCCTGTAATCCCAGCAAGTGGGGGTGGAAGTGGGAGTGGCACAGAGCCAGCCACAGCAAAAGCGAGGTGTTCAGCAACTAAGTGAGAACTTGTTTATAAATAAAACACAAAATAGGACTGGGGATGTGGCTCAGTGGTTGAATATCCCTGAATTCAATCCCCAGTACCCTGCCCCCTCAACAAAAAAAGAATAAGACAAAGATTTGCTATTGCTACTTATGTTCAGCATTATGTCTCAGCCAGTGCAGTAAGATCAGAAAAGTAATTAAAAGGTATAAGGACTGAAGAGGAATAAGGAAGTAGATCTGCCGTTAATAGATATGCTATAATGTCTACTTGGAAGGTGCAAAGAATCCGCAATTTTACTATTAAATTATTTAAAACCTAACAAAGCTGTTAAATACAAAAGTCAACATAAAATTCAATTGCATTTTTTTTTTCAGTGGAGCAACTCTTATGCTGGTTTATTAGAAGACATAAACAGGATTGTTTGTGTCAGCACTTTTCATAGTAACAAAAAAGACAAAACAATCTCAATATACCCATGTAGAATAGATTATTGCATTTTACGATGTTCCTACAATAGATTATTATACAGCAGTGAAAATGGATGAACCAGGGGATACACGTAGACAAAAGGATGAATCTCAAAAATATAATGTTGAAGGAAGGAAATAAGTTACATAAGAATTAATTGGCAGTGATTCCATTTTTTACAAGTTCAAAAATAGGAAAATTAAACCATACATACATTGGTGGTAAATGTAAAGTAAAGCAAAAGAATAATTAAAATGAAATTCAGCTTAGTAATTATTTTTAAAAAGAAACAAACGGGTATTCAAATATACCAAAGAAGTTCTATTAAGATTTAGTAGCTCTGAAATAACACATGGGTATTTATTTCAACTGTTACTATAGATTTTATATATTTTTCTGTGTTTATATCACAATTAATAGTTTTTAAGAAGGGAACATTTATTGTTTTCTTTCTATTAGTGTCTTCCCCCATCCCATGTAAATGTATTCTTTTTAATTTTCCTTGTTCCTAATAATTCCTACCACCAAAATATGTTTCTCTTGTCACTTCGAAGCAATGTCTCACTAGGGAAGAATATCTATATATATATATATCTATATATATATCTATATCTATATCTATATCTATATATATATATGACAACCAAAAAAAATTTTTTTTAATATGGTGCTGGGGATCAGTCAGGGCCTTGCACATGCTAGGCAAGTTCTCTACCACTAAGCAACATCTCTTGCTCCACCAAAAAACAATTTTTAAGCAGCTTCCATTTTTCTTTTTGAATCTTTTATGAAATTGAAAGCTCTGTAGGTATTGCAGTCTCCTGTTTTTTCAAATATATTTTAGTTTTATTTTGAAAAAAAAAAATGCTGATGTCCATCTCTGATATTTAAAACAGATTAACTAGAGTTGCCCCAGTCAAATGTCAGTATTCTAGGAAACCATGGTAATGCAGTTTGAACATTACTGTTCTAGTTTATAACCCAACACAAAATCTCAACTAAAGTGATAATCCTTTAGTATTTTGATTGTTTCATAAAATTCTGACCCTAGAGAATATTTAAATACTAATTCTTCTTTATTTAGATATTTAATTATGAGGTAAGCCATTTTCTGATGAACTAAATATTACTTATATCCCATTGTTGATATTACTGTAGTATACCAGAAACTTATTTTTCTGTTACAATATACAGCTTTCCTATCCAGAACTAGCCTGTTCCTGGTGGCCTTATGGAAGGCCAGTGAAAATATACCTAATTGTAGTCTCCCTACAGACCGTCTTTTAAAATATTTTTTTAGTTATTGACAGACTTTTATTTTATTCATTTATTTATATGTGATGTTGAGAATTGAACCCAGTGCCTCACACATATGAGGCAAGCACTCCACCACTGAGCCACAACCCCAACCCTTACAGACCTTTTGACTTAATGCAAGATTCTCCTTAATCTATACCTTGGTTTATGGAATTCCTAAGCATTGTTTAGTTTTTCCTAGCAATTAGGGTGAAACATTTTTAGTGAGTTATAGATGAACCAGAATCTCAAACTGGGGAAAACAAGCCTTAAAGATCATTAGTGTTTCGATATTTGTTTTTAATCAGCAAAGACTTTTTTTGTTTATTTGTTTGTTTAATTGAACTCAATAACATTCTGCCTCTGAGCTACCTCCCTTTTTAAAAACATTTTATTTTGAGACAGGGTCTTACTAAGTTGTCAATGCTGGCCTTGAACTTGAGATCCTCCTGCCTCAGCCTCTTGAGGAATTGGAATTATTAGTGTGTGCCACCATGCCCCGCTAGAGCCATTTCTTCTAAGGAATTCATTCCAGAAAGCCAAATAAGAGTTTAGACTAAGTGTGGGGTTGGATTTATTGCCAAACCCCCAGTCTTTAAAACTTATCTCTCACTCCAATTTATAAATGTAACGAGACCCAGAGAGATCAAATGATTTGCCCAAGAGCAATAGTGAATTGATAATAGGTAGGCCTTGATCTCAGGACTTATGTGCAGCTTCTCCTGACTCTAGTCTAGTGGTCCTTTTGCTAACCCACACTGCCAGTTCTATACAAATCCTTTTCAAAAATTGTTAAGATGTTTCTTTTCACACTTATCAGCTGAATTATGGACATTAAGAAATAAACAAATGGCATGTAAACGTGAGCCTTTATACATGGGTGAGGACCAATTCTTTTTGCTGCTTGCAGGTCACTATGACAAATGTGTGTTCACCCTTCGGGAAGAGAACAAAAGTGACATGAACACTGTATTGAACTACATTTTCTCTCACGCTCAAGTCACCAAGAAGAATCTTCTGGTCACAATGCTTATTGTGAGTATCATTTTTTATAATCTGATGGTTGATAATATGGAAAAAATATTTTTTTCTTCTAGTAGCTATGGTCAGAGGAAAAGATACTGTCTTCTATAATTATGGAATGAATGGAGCTTGGGTTGTAGATTAATAATTTCTCATCTCTACCTTTATCCTTGATCTGAAGGAACCTGCTATTTAGGAAAGGATTGTCCTGGTTATTATGCATATTATGTGCATAAAAATTCACATCTCTATTTAAAAGTGCCATGTGCTTTTCCATTCCTGTTGTCATTATGACAGTAGCTTTAAAATCTAGTCTTCTCTAACCAATGTACATTCATTTTAATTCTATTTGTTCAATAGATGTAAGCAATGGTTCTAATGTTGAGACTTTTAAAAAAAAGTTAGAAATTCAGTACTGGCCCTCTCACCAAAGAAATTGAAATTTTTTTCTGCATCTTCTTTGTTCCCTTTTTGTTTTATTTATGTTAAGAATCTAAGCTGAGATTATTGTATTGGTAGTACACAGTATTTTGTCCCCATATCCTAGGAATATAGGAATTAGTAAGTGGGAATAAGGGATGAGACTGGTAAATGTGAATAGGACTAATGTACACTTGACCAGGGGGAAGAAGTTTTTTGGACTTGAGAATTTTTAAAGATGCTTTGCCAGTCCTTAACTCATAGATCTTTCCAGTTGAGTTAATTTTAGGAGAAGACGACTGAGAAGAGGACAACTCTGAAAGAGTTCTCACCCCAAGGTCCTGAACAGTTAGTTGCCTTGCTCTTACTTGTTTGTTTTGGGAACTATAGACCTCTTCACTTCCTTGAATTTCGTTTTTGTCCCTGGGAATGGGCATTCTTGGTACTTTAATTCCATCATTTCTTCCTGGAAGGGCAACACAACCCAATAAATCTTGACTGCCATTTTTTATTTTATACTTGAGAATGAAGGAAAACCGTCTTCCTTACATCTCTGGTAAACAGCGTTGTGACTCATTCAGCCATCTGCCTAGCTGATTAACTCTAAAGGATATAAGATTTTTTAGAATAGCTACTTTTTAAAAGTGTATTATTATAGGGAGAATTTGTTACTTTTGCTACCCTAAAATAGCTAGGTGATGAGGCACTCAGAAGGTGCATTTGAAAATACATATCACTATGTAATATTTTATTTTTTCCAAATGACAGCTTTCAACAAAGACATTATACCAGCAACTTGCTAATATTTTTTTTCTCAATCAAAAAAGGGAAGAAATCTGACTTTTTTTCCTTCAAATTTTAATGCAAGAAATGTTAATTCTCACTTGCATAAGGCCAAGAATTTCTAGAGGCAAGGGATAATGATGAGAGGGTAGAAGAATCTGTCAGTTTGGACCTAAAATGGGGTAGAATTTGCCTTTAAATGAAGCTAATTATGGTGAATTTTTCATCTTATTATGATTACCTTTTTAAGAACGTAACAGTTTTCTGCACTAAAAATAGACCAAAGCCCAGAATCCTTGGAGCAGCAGAAGAGTAATGATCGTCCAGGACTGTCGCTGGGTTTCTTAAATTCTAATTTGTAAGATATAGGGGCTCGGCTCGCTCCTTTTGCGGAGTGATTGTAAGTAACGCTTGCCTTAAGAATCTCATTATTGGAACACGGAGCCATATTTCCTCTGAGAATTCTGGAGTAGCTTTGAGCCGGGGCTGTTCATTTCTCAAGTAATCACGCTGGTGTGATGGAGAGAGAAAATGGCAGCTGTTCGGAGCTCAGGCCTTCAATTTTCTTCAGAGTCCAGTCACTCAAGTGTGTAATTACACGGGGGGTGCTGCAGAGGCGTTGGGCCCTGTCAGAGAACTGGTTTGAGGCTTTGCTTTTTGCTTTTGCCAGTCAGGACAGGCAGAAGCCAATGGGACTCTGGCTTGCTGTTGTTCTTTTTACCCACACCTTGGCATCTGATTACTTCTCACCTGCAGGGATAGTACCCAAACTTTCTTTCCAACAGACTGAGCTCTTTGGAGAAAAGAGATATTTCAGAGCATCTGGGTTTAGATGATAGGGCAGAGGAGAAAAAGGAGATGTTTGTGAAGCAGGAAGCTAGATTTGTCTTTTCTCTGTTTTGACATCGTCACATTTTTCTTTAAAAACAAAACAGGACTCAGTAAGCATAATAGGATCTGTAGGCTTATGTATCATTAGTTTCCTTTCATATATTTGTTGCTTTTGCCCCATGTCAGAGATTTGAAAATAAAGAAGTTAATTGATGTGATTGAGCTCAAGGCCAGCTAGCAGTGACTTATGGATCAGGGATAAAAGCTCAGATGGTGTTCCTTTCTGATCCGATATTACTGAATGCCAGGCATGTCTTTCTTTTTTCTTCATTGACAATGGCCAGTGACTCTACCCCCACTCCATCTGCATTGATGGTAATAGCTGGTAAGAGTTTTTTTAGTTGTTAGGATTACTCTTTCTGAAGGTCTTATTGTCTTTTACAGATGTCACTGGAACATGGTAGCATTTCAATTCCCCTAGCTTGTGTTCTCTGCTAGTTCTCCTTTCTTTGCTTACCTTGGCTTCCTGATTGATGATTATGTGCCCCAGCATTCCAATCTCTGTTTTCTAGAAATAGGAATGCTGATGGTGTGCTTTGCTGAGCTAGATGATGATTTCTGGGGCCTTTGAACCTACAGAAAAAGATCAAGAAATCAGGCTGCTCCAGTGAAGAGGGGCCTTTATCCTTTCTAGGTATTAGCATAAGTTGCCTAGTGGTAACTTGTTCCATGGCATCTTGACCAAATTTCTTCTAATCTTTCACCCTATCTGGAAAGTAAAAATATCAAGTAAAAGGGTAAAGTTCTGTCCAATTTCCTTTGGATCGTTGTACCAAATATGAAAGCAAAGTCTGAAAGACAAACAGTAAATTTTTTTTTTAACTTTTTTTTTTTCCCACCCCTGGTACTGGATATTGAACCCAGGGTTGCTCTGTCACTGAGCTATAGCCCCAGCCTTCTTTATTTTTTATTTTGAGACAGGATCTTGCCAAGTTGCCCAGGCTGTCCTTAAACTCATGATCCTCCTGCCTTAGTCACCCAAGTTGCTGGGATTACAAATGGGCATTACTGTGCCTGGTAGTAAGTTAACTTTTTGAACGCTCTATTTCTTAAATTTAACCTTATAAGTAAAAACTTAGAGTTTAGAATAATAGTGTTTGTGTTTACTTAGAGATATTTAAGGGACTCTTTGGCCAAATTAAATTATCAACATTAAAAATATCAATATTCCCATAGCTGTGTACATAGCAATGTACATATTGAATAGTCACCTTGATGCTGAACAAGAAGCCCAGGAAGATTGTCTTTCCGTTAATGCTTATGTCTTATTTCTGATCTGGGCCACATGAACATGCTTCCATATGACTAATGCCATGCATATGAAACTGATTTGGTTTAGACAAGCAAAGATCAGTGCCTTCTCTTATTTCTCATATCATGGCTACATATAATATATCCAATGTGTAAGTAAGAAAGAAAATTCTCAGTAGTCTCAATCAAGTGTACTGAATAAGGATGTAGCTAACAATTTATTGTTAAACCCATCCTATAACATCTTTAGAATGTCAAAAAGTTCAATCGTGATTGGAAGAAGTTACCAGTTGCTTGTTGATGTTGGAATTAGGGCAGTAGTTTATGTTACATATAAGGTCACGTTCTTCCCATTTTGAGTTGCCTTCCTCAGAAGTATTTAATGTCTAAGATGCTAAGATCAAGTTAGGCTCATTTGGGCTTTTCTGTCAAGCTGAATAACTGACTGGTTTTGATAGTTAAGCATATCTATTATATTTTTGCAAATCCAGCATATTCCCCATAGTTAGCAACCAATGACGATGAGAATAAAAATAAGAAATATCTGTGTTGTACCAGTCTTAACTCTTGCTGAATAGTAATTTTCACTTTGGTCTACAGATTTTTGCAAATGACGTATAACCCCAAAATCAGTGGGTTGGTTCTTTAAATGATATATTTTATTTTGAGGAAACACATCTGCTGATAACAATTGTGCTTTGGTAGTGTTACAAAATGTTTACCAGGATTACATGGTGATGTTGACTTGTTCGGTTGCCCACAGGAACCCTTTGTCTAGGATAGAGGGTCATGAGCTCCCTGAGGATGAGTAGTTGTGAATACTGGTGGTTTCTTTCTAGAAAAGAAAGGTCATTCAAACCCAAAATATTATTTTGTAACAATTAAAATAAAAGTAAAATGTATAAACACAGAAAAAAAAAAAGGAAAGGTCAAGGACAAGTCTTTGGACAGTTGAGAAAGTTATTTTACATATAGTGTTCAGGCACCAGTCTTTTTCTGAGTATTAATGATGACAGTGGAGAAAAATCATATTTGAATGGAAAACTTCCAAGTCTGGATGAATTAATGTAAGTAGTGGTTTATTCATATTGTGTTGATTTTTCACACATCCCAGAAAGGTCTGGTTTCTCTGCTTTATCACAAGAAGCCCAGGAAGATTGTCAGCCTGTCGTCATGAATGAGTAATGACTTTACTTTTAATTTTTCCTAATCTCCATTGTTCACTTTTCTTACAGATACTTTCTTTTCCCCTATCCTTTCTTACTTTCTTTTTTTCATAATGGAAAGATGAAATGAGAAAATGATTTTGTATGTTTTCCTTTTTTTTGTACTGGGGATTGAATCCAGGGAAGTTTTACCACTGAGCTACATTCGCAACCCTTTTTTTTTTTTATTTTGAGACAGGGTCTCACTAAATTGCTAAGGCTTGCAATCCTCCCAAGTCACTGTGATAACAGATGTGTACCACTGCATCTGTTTAAAAAAAAAAAAAAATTTTTTTTTTAAAGTTGGCACATGATCAATAGTTAAGTAAGAGGACAACTTCATTTTTTTCCCTTTTAGTTTATCTTTAAAGTTCAACCCAGGTTTCCTTCAATGGAAACTCATTTCTATCAAGTCTGATACAGGTTGAAAAGGTAACTGTAGTGTTCTTATTTTGCCACATTGGCTTTGGTTATTAATGTCGAAACTTTGGTCTGGCTATTTGCAGAGTTAGCTGAGTTTTGGTATTGCCCAGGACATACATGTTTTGAGATTTCCTGAGTCATTCTGATCAGTGAAGAAAGTACCTCAAAAAGGATAATGTTTCTCTATTAGGAACAATAAGAAAGGAGGATTTGGATAGGAAAATGGTTTCTCTATCCATTGTTATCTATCTGTTCTTTCCTTCTGTCTGTTTATGGTCTTGTCTCTGGCCATTTATATATATTCCCTTGAAATTCTATTTTGCTTATTAGTTCTCAGCAAAAGATAAGACTTTGTTATATTTTCTCCCCCCTTCTTGCTTTTATGCCTATCTAGGATAGGTGAAACAAGTCCTTTAGTATCTGGCTACATGTTCAACTGAATCCTGGGCTTATCTTTAATAGCAGTTTTTGTTTTTCACACTTATGTGGATAAAAACAATATTTGAACTTCCTTAACTATAAATCATGGGTTTTATGACCCTGGACAGTTGGAGCAGATCTCTGGTTAATTATTTGAGGAAGGAGAATTCCATGTTCTGAATCATTTTTTTTTACACACACACAAAAAGTTGGAGAAATCTTCTCAGCATAATAGGGTTAAGTATTCCAAAAGTATCTTTTTCATTATGTGAAACATAATAGAGATTTTGGAAAATTTTGGGACATGCATGTCTGCCCCAAAGGCCAAAGTTCTATGCTTTTTTTATACTGTTGTGATAAAGTACTAATCAGAGTACCCCTAAGGTGGGGAAGGATGAGTATGAAATAGAGATTCTTGAAGAAAAGGGATGATGGGAGGTGGCAGAGGGATGAAAAACCAGTAACAGGATGGGGAATGTCCCAGTAGTAGGCACTTGCACAAGGCCCTGAATTAATTCCCAGCTCTGAAGGAAGAAAAAAAAGTCTTTCATGTCTCCTTGATAGTAGTAGAAGAGTTCTAAAACATAAATGTAATCACTTTAAAGTCCACGCAGAAGGAACAATACTTATATGTGTTGTATTAAGAAATGCTACACCCATAATTTTGTAAAATCCAAAAGGCAGACATTTATAAAAGCAGCATCCTTAGTTTTTTCAGCTTTGATGAAAATAACATGTATAATGGATGAATTTGGGGAATAAACTGATATTCTACTGGTTTCCAGTGGAAATATTTCAGAATATAATAGGGATTTTTTTTCTTAACCTTTTATAATTTTTAGAGGGGAGGATCCTATACCGATTAAACTGAATCTAGTCCATCTAAGAATTCACCATATTTAAATTCATGGAATGATTATTGGTTCAAGAACAGGATACCTGATTTTGAATGCAGAATTGCCAGAATACGAGATGGTGTTTTTAGTTAGCATGTGTTTATAAATGAATAATTTGTTCTTGTGTTTCTGTTTTGTATCCTTGGGATAGGGGCAGGGGGCTGAACATTTGGTTTGTGGAATTAGAACCACCAGGATGGTTCCTTTTGCTTTATCATCCTACCTTCTTTTCCAAAATGAGAGAGGGAATAGAAAGGTCTTTAGTCTCTACATTATTTAAAACCTCTTGAAACTTTGAGACATCATTTGTTATTTCTTATTCAGAATCCCCTTGACCTCTTTGAGTGGTCTCTGATGATTTCTTCTGCATATTAAAATTATGATGATAATTTATAAAGAAATACATTAAGAATTTTGAATCTGAATGATTGGAGATTTGGGTTGCTTCTCCTTAGGAGCAACTTCCTTTGGGTTAATCTTTACCACATTATTTAGGATAAAAATAATAGGGAGTTTGCATTTTATTAATCCAATTTTGTTTATTTTGTTTTCATTCCTTTATTTCAAAGTCCTGTCCACTGAGGTTCCTTTTTTATTTAACGTAGATGTTCATGTTCTTTTTTACGTTAATAATTAGGATCAGTTGTGTGGCCGGGACCCTACTCTCACTGATGAGCTGCTGAATATCCTCACAGAGTTAACTCAACTGAGTAAGACCACCAATGCTAAAGTAGCACTTCGGGCACGCCAGGTAAGGACAATTGTGGTTTATCTTAAAAGAGGGATAGTTTTCATAGTTTGGGCAGTTCTAGACACATTTAGCTTTTACTCAGTAACCTTACAAAGATCATGCAATTTTCTGTGTATGTCACATGCCCTTAGACCAATGTTTTCATGTGTATATGTTTTTTTAAAGAGAAAGGAAAGGATTTATGTTGACTGTCTAAAATAGTATTCCTTTTCCCATTATAAAATCCTGGTGTTGTTCCCCACCTCCCTAGTAGCCCTATGATAGTAAACCAGGGTCAGGAGGAGGGAAAGAAACTGGGGGAAGGAAATCAATATTTCTTACTTCCCAAAGGGAGCTTAGAAGCAGATGAGAACTTTTAAGTGTATAAGAAATAATCAAGTGTGGAAAGCAGAAAGATAATGAAATGAATCTTAGGCACCAGCAATCAGAACAACCCCAGAGAAGTCCAGTTAGCTTCACCCTGTAGTGTTCATTTCCATTCCAAAAGGTTTCAGCGGGGAAGCAGAGAGTTGGTGCTCCCTTTTGTGTTTCATTGCATGGGCATTGACAAGGAAGCAGCATTTGAAGCTGTTCAGTGACCTTCTGCTTTCTCTACAATTGTATCCATGTCACTGAACTACTCAAAGTTATTGAACCTCTCAGTGACCTGCTGAGGGTATTCAGGTCCTACCGTGTCCCTGTTTGTTTGTGACACTGCTTTCACTCTCTCTGCCCCTCACATGCATTGGTGTTACTTCCTGATACCTTCTCCTTGGTGCTGAGTACCTGGGGCTGTCAAAGCAGCTTTTCCTAGTCTTTCTGCTTCGAGTTGCTAAAGGCTAGATATGCTGCATCTACCTTCCCCACAGCTGCTCCCTGCCAGACCTGATTCCCAATTAACAGCTAGTCATGCAGTCCCCAGGACTAGCAGCTTTGCAATGGTAAATCACATGCACTGATGGAACTTGATTGAAGCTGTTTTCTCTCCCTTCCCCCGACCCCTCATGGGAAATTGCCCACAACGCAAATCATGGTGAGAGTCAACTAAGATTCAGTATTTGGTGGCATTGACTTTATGTTACAGGACTTAGAAGTTGTTTTACTCAGTCTCTGTTTTATCTTTGATGCCTGCACTTACAGATTTATATTTATTGCTTTTGTATCAGAGCTACCTAATAGGAGCCTAGAAATAATCACTCCCTCAGGAACTTATGCCTCTTATTTTGTTCTCACTCAAGGTTCTTATTGCCTCCCATTTGCCATCATATGAACTTCGCCATAACCAAGTAGAGTCTATCTTCTTATCAGCTATTGACATGTATGGACATCAGTTTTGCATTGAGAACCTGCAGGTATATAAAATAACTCTTTCTTACCACTCTGCACTCTTGTCCCCTTTATTCACAAGCATAGTTCAATTAAGTAATGGATCAATTAATTTTGATTTTCTATGTAATGAAATTTCATACCTTGACTTTTAAAAATCATTTATACTTATAAATATTTTTTCATAAAAATGCCATTAGATTAAAAATGGTTTAGCTTAATAGGCCTGCCTTGTGTCCTATTAAAATCTTTATCTCTTGTCCTTTTACCTAGAAAGTATTCTAGGTCAGAATTAAGTGGTAACATTGTTTGATTTCTGATATTTGAATCATATGTATACATAGATGGTTGTTACTCTAGAGACAAAGCTATTTAAATATCATTTAATTTTAATTTTATTTTAATGCTTACTATTAAGCTATATAAAGAGCCAATTTTGTAAGAGATTATTGGCTAATTTTACTACTAATTGGAAGGCCTTTACTATTTTTTAAACAACATCATTTTTCCTGGAGTGACTTCTGTTTTTCTACTTAGAAGCTAAGATACTATTAAATTATATCTGATCAAAGGAATCTTTAGAATTTGTGTAAGATTTCCTCCTGGAGAACCTAGAGAAGAAAAAGATTGTTTTCCTATTTGATTCATAGTTGAAATCTAGGGTTTCAATGGTGTTCAAATTTGGGCTTTACCATAGTGAGGCATTGAGACAATATTTAGGAAGTGAAATACAGATAGATATGTGTCAGAAAGAATAGTAATAGTTATAAACACCTATATTATCTTACAACTAATGCTTTTAGTATATTATTCTGAGAGTTTCATATATGTTAACCCATATAATGTTCTCAACAGCCCTATAAGGATAAGTAGTGTTTTTCTCATTTTGTCCCTGAGGAAACTGAGACTCAGAGAGGTTTATGTTCATACATAGCATTCATAGACAGAATTTTTAGGTTTCACTAAATGCTTCAAATGCTAAATATTGTTTACTGAAATTGTTCACTTTTGGATGTAAGGGGTTAAGCATGTCTTTGTACCTTCTAGAAACTCATCCTATCTGAAACATCTATTTTTGATGTCCTACCAAACTTCTTCTATCATAGCAACCAGGTAGTGAGGATGGCAGCTCTGGAGGTGAGTATTCATAGTCCTTTGACAGATCTCCTCCTTGGTTTCTAGCTGATGTCTTCTTCTGTTTGATTGACTATCGCGACAGTTCTTTTTCACTTTCCCTACCACTGAGCTACACTCCCACTTCATAGGGTTGGTTCTTAAGGGTACTCTTTTCCTCTGAAAAAAGTACTTGTTGCTCAAGTATTTCATCTGAACTAATCACCTGTTTCTGGTGATTTCCAACCACGGGAAAATAGCTGCCAGCACTTTTTAGTAGTCTTTATTTTCCAGGTATTTGAATTCTCCCATTTCATAATGAATTAGGATTCCCCATAACACATAAGTGAAAGAATATATGTGGCTGATCAAAATGTGTTAACTTTGTCATTTTGTGATTTGAGCCAAATTAAAATGCGTTTAGTTATATTTTTAATTATTAAGCAGCTCTTATAAAATATTGCCTCATAGGAAAGAAAGAAATAGCATTTAATAGAGTGTAGTGTACTTTATTTTTTTCTCATTTACATTTATGAAATAAAACAAAGTGAAATTCTGAGAGGTTATGTGACTTGTCCAAAAATCACAAGTGGAGGCGTTTGCATTTGAACTCAGGTCAATCTGACTCCACACACTTTTCTGTTTCCACTAGAGTACACTTCTACCTCATTAAGTACAAAAATTGCAAGCTCTGAATACTACCTTAAAATTGCCAAGTGGATATTTTTAAGCTGGGAAAAGGAGCATTTTAGATGATTTTATGTAATAAAACATCATCATAGAGTGTTACTAGCTCTTTTTATTTGTATTGTGGGTAAAATGTAAACTCTACTACTCAGTAAATAAAAGAGACTTGAAATATCTAAGTGTTTTTTTCAGGGCTTTCATATCACTTAATGAGAAGCCTCCTTTCATGCCTCAGATGATGACAGAATCCCATGTAGCATTTTATGTGCATGGCAAATTGAATATACATGAGGATGGACTGTTTTTGCTGAGATGTAGTCTGTTGCTGTTTCTTTAACTCTTAAAGTTAGTGTGTTTGAGATATTAAATGTCAAATTATACCTCATTGCTTTTGCCTAAAGTTGAGAATCTAAATAATCCAAAATTGATTTGGGGCAGTAGGGTAAAACAAAACAAAACAAACAAACAAACAAAAAAAAACAAGATATTTGATAGTAAAAGAGTTGAGCTGTACTGCACCTGCTTCCATCTTCTGTCTTCACTCCTAAGTAGCACAGAATGAACACCTCTTATTTTTCTCACTGCTTGCTTTTGTCTTCTGTTGAAATAATCATGCTTAATAAATTAGTAGTCATGATTTTATAATGCTCTTAAAGATCAAACCTTCTCCAGAATTTAGGTTAGTGTGAAAGGTTTACCAGGCACTTAGAGGTGTCCAGCAGAGGCAACCAACTTTTATTTTCATTTATATTCATGGATATAGTTTTAAAATTCCATCTTTATTAATTAAAGCAAGTATGTTTGTATAGACTCTTTGGACCTGTCTCACCACAGGCCACCACCTTCTTCATAACCTTCTTCTTTTTCAAGACTCTCTTTTTTTTGGCTTAGCCATTCTCTTTATTTCTATTTTTGAAGTTTATTTACAGAGGATTACTTTTTGCCAGGTGTATGTTCGAAGGGCTTACATTGCCTATGAACTTAACAGTGTACAACACCGCCAGCTTAAGGACAACACCTGTGTGGTGGAGTTTCAGTTCATGCTGCCCACATCACATCCAAACAGGTGAGTTTGAGTTGGTATGTGTGCCTAAGCGAGCCGGAGGCCTATCAGGAGAGTTAGAGGAGCAATGAGTATGACAGTTCCATTGTTTTTTTTAGCCAGAAATTTAGAGTGAAAAATGAACAGATTTGAACAGATTTGTTGCCTATTCTAGTTAAGATAAAAGTTTTGGATTACTCTATTCATTCTTGCGTGTATTATGTCATTGAAGAAATAATTCCTTCCTTTTTTTTTTTTTTTTCCTTTTTACTAGTATATTTCTTGTTGGAGCTTTCCCAGAAAAATCACAAAAATATACCTTGAGTGGAATTGCTTTGTCTTTTTATATGTTTGCTATGGGTCAAAGTTGTACCAGAGCCAGTTTTATTTTATCCCCTAAAAATACCTGAATTTAGCAGTTGTAATCCCATCAGTTTTTTAAAGAAATCACACTTCAGAACCAAACTTAATTGGCCATGCTAATTCTGTTATTCTTCCCTTCTGAAGACCTTTAAAATGTACATATGAACATTTGTTTTGGTATTGCTTTGTTTTTAAAATTAAAATACTTATTTGTCTTATCCCTCATTCTTAAAAACTATACCTAGATATTTTTAACTCCACATGCATATGCTTATCCCTTCCTGTAGTTTCTTTCTTTTTTTTTCTTCAGTAATGCCACAGGAAATATAAATACACAGCCAATCTTAACCTGCCCCTCTTCATTTCTTCTTTATGGCCTTTGGTTCTTCGCTTGGTATTACAAAGTACAATGTCTTTGGGGATCCTTAGTTATAGTCACCAGAAATGGTTTTGTTCTGAATTGCCACTTCACCGAAAGCAATAGAGCCTTTCTGGAGACAAAGAAGTCTGTGCTGAGACTTTTGGCCACTGGATGCCACTGTTGATCCAGCAGAGATCAGCAGATGAGCAGAGGCATCTTCAGAAAAGTATCTCTCTTCTTTGTCTCAGAAGATCCTTTTACTTCTCTACCTCAGAAATGCCTTATGGCTGGCAGAGAAAAGCATATATCCTTGATTTAGCAAGCATCTCTCGGTACATTTTTGCCTCCATGGATTTCAGAATCTCATTTTCTAGAAACGAATGGTTGTCCTTCAGCGAGCCGGGAAGTACTCATGGCACACATGGGCTCAGCACTCAGTCTTCTTTCTTTTCCTGCATTCCTTGAATAATTGTAGAGAACTACATGCTATACTAATGCTCTTTATAATTCTCAAGACAATCTCCCTTTCTTCCTGCTTTCTATTGCCTCTTCCCTTTGGGCAGTGATTTGTAGTCAGCCTGCAGGGCCGCCTCTGATTTCCTTCCCTCCTCATTGCTCCCCCTGTCTTTCTGAATTGTACTCCCTGTCTTACTTTTTTTGTTTGAGACTGTGTGTCCAGCTTGGTGAGGAAAAGTTGACTAAAAAATGAAGGAAATTCTTAAGTGCTTTGTTAAAAAAAATCTTATCTTTGCACATCAAGAGTATGAATTTCATCTTGATATGGTTTCAAAACATATATCCTCATCCCTCACATCTGAGGTGTACACACCCTATGGATAAAGACCAGATTTAATCAGTCCTGTTTTCTGTAGTCTCTAAAGTCTTCCCTAGTTAGTTTTGTAATTTTATTTTTCTTTTTTGAGGGAAGGGTACTGGGGATTGAACCCAGGGGTGCTTTACCACTGATCTACGTCTCCAGCTTTATTTTATTTTTTAATTTTAAGACAGGATCACACTAAATTACTGAAGCTGACCTTGAACTTGTAATCCTCCTGCATCAGCCTCCCACTGGCAAATGTTTGTAATTTTAAAGCTGCTGGAATATTATTATCATTATTATTTATGTAGGTGTGAAGGTAAAGATGAATGCAAAATAAGAAAAGGTAAAATAATCTTTTTGAAAGCCAGAAAAATCTTAAAATTGCTTTAATCCTATTTTTTTGTTTTGTTTTGTTTTTTAAGATCTGTAGTATTTTTGGTAATTTAGGATCAGATAATCAGATTTGATCAGAAAATAATATACCCCATTGGGAGATTACAGCAGGAAGATCACAGGTTCAAAGCCAGACTCAGCAATTAAGTGAGGCCCTCAGCAACTTAGCAAGACTCTGTCTCAAAATTAAAAAATAAAAAGGGCTGGGGAATGTGATGTGGCTTGGTGGTAAAGCATCTCTGAGTTCAATTCCCCAGTACCCTCCCCCCCAAATATATATATATCCAGTTTTAAAGGATAGTTTACTCAGACAGTTAGTACAGATTTGCTGCTTGAATTTAGTTTTCTAAGACTCTGTATTTGCTTGCAAATACAATTTAGAGTTAGATCACATGCCATAAGTTAAGGGCTCAGTTTCTACAAAACTGCCCAAAGTTCAAAGGATCCACAAGTTGAGTCCCCTAGTCATCTGCGCTTTTAACCAACTGGCTACAAAGATGGGGGTTCCCATAATCCCCCCAATTCAGTAATTCCCTAGAATAACATAACTTTAAGCCTTATCATTTTATTATGGAGATTATATAGTTCAGGACCAAATGAATGAAGAGATACACAGGAGGAAGTCTGGGTTGGGGGGATCCTCAAACACAGCCTTCTTATTCTTTATGGAATCAGAATGCATCACCTTCTCAGCACATCTGTGTGTTCACTGACGAAGAAGCTCCATGGAAATTCAATGTCAAGTTTTTATCAAGGTTTAATTTCATAGGCATGATTGATTAAGTCATGGTCTACATGATTAAACTCAATCTCCCCTCCCAGAGGTCAGGGTGACTCAAAGTCCCAACTCTTTAATCACATAGTTGGTCTTTCTAGTGACCAGCTACCATTCTGGGTCAGCTGATCTCATCTGTTAGCATATACTCATGTGTGATTCCAAGAAGCTCATGGATAACAAAGGCACTTAGAAATTCTAAGTGTTTAGAGTCTCTCTCCCAGTAACCAAGGAAAAAGACCAAATTCCTTATCATATAAATGGATCTACTCACTTTAAAAAAGGTTTAGTTACTTTTGAATAAAGTACTTTTCTATTTTTACAACTCCATTTTTCCACCTTTTTTATTGGTGCATTACAGTTGGACATAATTGTGGGATTTGTTATTACATATTAGTATGTGCACACAACATAACAATAGAATTTGGCCGGTTTGGCTCCCTAGCACTTCCCTCCTCCCTCCCCACCTTCTACTCCTATTCCTTTCCTCTGTTCTACTGCTCTCTCTTTGATTTTCATAAGATTCCCCCACATTTCTTTTCTATTTGGAGGTTCTGTCCTATAATAATAATGTCCAATACAGGAAGGCAATGGGGCTGGAGTGTCACTCAGAGTTAGAATACTTGCCTAGCATGTGTGCAGTGCTGAGTTCAATCCCCGGCACTGGTGGGGAAAAAAAAAAGGAAGGGGGGGTGCATTTACCTGGTGGCATCATCAAAATGATAATTCTGAAGATGGGAGAAAATGTCTATAATGCTGTTTTTCAATTTGTACTTTGTCCTCCATTAGTGGGTACCAATTTGTTAAGTCTCCTGTTACTAATTTTTTTTAATTAAACAGACTATAGTAGAAAAAAAAATTCCTTTTTCCTCTTTAGCTCCCACATATGCCAACTCCATTTTTTTTTTATTCCTTTCTATTCTAATGAGTCTTGGAATTATTTGAAGAGTATTTTGAAAATACATGTATTAGGGTCCTGGCTGCCAAGGTCTGAGAGTCCATGTGACCACTTTTTTGCAGAACACCTTTAATAATTCTGATAACACTGTAATTGAGAATTCACTACTTCTAGACCAACACTGTCCAGTAGAAATCTAATGCAAGCCACATGTAATTTTAAATTTTCTATTGACCACATTTAAAAGAGTAAAAGAAACATCATTAATTTTAATAGCATTTATTTAACCCAATATATGCAAAACACCATTTCAGTATAAAGTAAAAATGATCAGTGAGATATTTTATACATAATTTATAGCATATCTCAGTATAGACTAGTCACATGGCTAGTTACTGCTATGTTGCTCTGCTCAAATCTAGACTAAAAATTAATTAGGTCAATCACATTGAGTCTTCTGTTTTGTTAATGGTAGAAGAGGGAAAAAACAAACAAACAAATAAAAAACCCTCTTATTCTTGCTTGTCTTGGTAGTTATAGGAATTATCCAACCTAATACTATTAGTTACTATACTGCATGTTTTAAAAATTATTCTGTGAGAATAAGAGAACAAGCATCTAAAGAATTTTCCTGAAAAAATACTCTGCTCCTGTCAGTTTGCAGATAGAAAGCTATATTTCATCCCAACCCATGGGGATTAAATAACTAGCCAAAAACAAATGACAAAACTGGAATTCCACCAGGTGACCCCATACACAGTAAGAGATTGTCATCTTGCTTTCACATTACAGCTTACAAAGATACTTCTAATGACAAATTTTGTCTACTTCAAATGAACACCTAGCTAGGAATGTGAAGATCAACTGCCAGAACAGATGATGCTAAAAAGTTGGTTAAAAAATTGTATTCTTTCCAAAGAATGTTTGGTCTGTTAACTCCGACTGAGAAAAATACTATAATCTGTTTTGTAGATTAGATGCCTTTTGGACAAAATACCTATATCTCATTAGTACCTGTTTCAATTTTTAAAGAAGTAGTCAAAATACATTTGCAAATGAGTGTGGCAGCTCTAAGAAGGTAGAAGATAACCAACCTCCTTTTAGCACATTCAGGCAATTACTGTGTAGCCAGCATGTTTGGTACCTTTTTATTTTAATAATCTATGGTAGGACTTATGTTACTTTATATTTTTTTTGGTATACTTTGTATTTTTTTCTAGCATTTCTCTCAATATTTTCTTAAAACGCTGATTATTAGCTTATTTTTAATCTCCATAACTCCCCCCCCCTCCTCCTCCTCCCCCCCTTCCTCCTCCTCCTCCTCCTTCTTCTTGCTAGGCATTCTTCTGTCAGAGTATGTTATCTTCTTGACCTTCTACCCCAAGACTTTAAATTTTTTTCTGGGAACTGTAGT